GTGGGATTTCATAGTAATTTACAGTAACTGTATGAAGCAGTACTTTATAGTAGTTTGTAGCAGTGTAACTGTATTCAGTGGCGGTTTATAGTAATTCTACTATGTGAAAAAGTACTTTTATGTACTCTATGTGTATCTAAACATAGTTTACAGTATGTAAAAAGGATGAAAAAGTAGTTTTAAGTACCTTACAGTAGTTTAACTCTGAAGCAGGGTTTTATAGTATTCTAACTGGATGCAGACATGGTCTATAGTAATTTAATTGTATAAAGTGGTAGTTTATAGTAATTTAATGAATGAAACAGTATTTTATAGTGTATTAACTGTTCACGGGGATAGTTTTTAGTACAGTACAGTAATTTCAACGTGTGGGGCATACTTTTTAGTACTCTAACTGCATACATTGGTAGTTTACAGCCATTTTACTACATGTAGTAGGACCTATGGTACTACAGTAACAGAATGAATGCATGCAGAGTACTATAACTGCATCACTGTGTACAGTACTGTCTGAAGACACACTAACCAAAGTCCGGAGGTACTGTGAGGATCATGTCGGTGCTGCAGACCCAAACACCAGGGGGAGAACCGGGACAGATCTGAGTGACAGACAACCAGCAGTTTTTAATGGTTCCCAGTAAACTGAAGTGGAACCAGCATGCAGCCCTGTGGTTTCCCACACATTCATGTGTTCATCTCAGTTTAACCTCAAGCCAGAATCAGTAGAACTATGCGTTGTGTGTTTACACAGTTTTTAATGTATGTGGTTGGTAAAGTTCTTGCCTGGTTGCTGAGGCAGTCCAGCAGCAGGTCGAGGCAACAGACCGGAGCCTGGACTTTCTGATCTGGCTTCTCTTGAGGCAGCCAGCAGAACGCTCTGCTGCAGGAGCTCCAGGGAAAATCCCGACCCTACAGGGAGAAAATCAGCCGTCTTCACTGAATTACATGTCCAGAAATTAAAAAACAAAAAATTGACCGAACTGCATCGCTGCTGGACTCACCGTGTGGAGGATGAGGATGTGAGCATCATCCAGGACGTCGGCCGTCACCACCTTCAACACATCGAACAGAAACAACACACCTTCGATCAGAAAGCTTTAGTTTCAGTGTTAAACTGACCAGGCAGCGTGTAATGAATCCATCCATCATCTATACACCTTAATCCTCACGAGGGTCGCGGGGAGGCTGGAGCCTATCCCAGCTGACTCAGGGTGAAGGCAGGGGACACCTGGACAGGTCACCAGTCTATCACAGGGCTACACTTAGAGACAGACAACCAAGCACACTCACATTCACACCTACGGACAATTTAGAATCACCAATTAACCTCAACATGTTTTTGGACCTTGTGGGAGGAAGCCGGAGAACCCAGAGAGAACCCACGCTGCATGGGGAGAACATACAACCTCCATGGGTGTCCTCACCAGGACGCGAACCAGCGACCTTCCAGCTGCGAGGCATTGATGCTAACCAACGAGCCACCTTGCAGTCCGTACAATGAATCAACACATATTATCTAACTGGATTTCTAACATGCGAATGTGGTTGGTCTTGATTTGGAACTTGTTTTTCCTGACTTGGAACTTTTTGATCTTGGTTTGGAACTTGTTGGTCTCGACTTGTTGGTTTTCATTTGAAACTTGTTCTTGAGTTGGAGCTCACTGATTTTGACTGGAGAATTGTCGGTCTTCAGTTGGAACTTCTTCGTCTTGACTTGGACCTTGTTGGGTTTTGGACTTTAAAATTGTTGGTTTTGAAGTTTTTGGTCCTGATTTGAAACTTGATGCTGAGATGGGACTTGTTGGTTTTGACTTGGAACTTGTTGGTCTTGTACGTATTTATCTAACTGAGTTTAGGAATATTTGTTCTATAAAGTAAAAAAGAGTTCTAGGTTTTCATTTCCACTAAAGTTATCTCTTAATGACCGGAAGCAACAAAACCAAATACATAAATAGACACCTGACTGCTTCTTTCACAGACTTTGAAAGAACTTGTCCGTTAACGGTCAGAGGTGTGAGACTCACAGTGTGTCCAGCTCGGCTGCTCAGGTGTTCAGCAGCAACCAGCAGCGCGTTCAGCGTTGCCCCTCCGCTGCCCAATGGCTCCTGGCGGTCCCTCACCGTCAAAACCAACGCACCCTGAGAGAGAAGGCCACGCTGCTGCCGCAACTCCAGCTCTGAAACACACAAAAACACACAATGGACCTTTAAATGTCTCAGAGAAAGGCAGCAACAACCAAGAGGTCACATGATACAATACAACACACCCGACAATCCCACTGTGTGAACACGCACATTGGTCCATCATATTACTCCTGGTTTCATAAACACCACTGATCTCTTGAATCATGTTGCTCTTAACTGTTTTTTTTTTTGCACATAATAAATACACATGTAATAAGCCTTCATTTTGCCCATTTTATATTCATTCACTTTAAGTGTTTTACAATTTACAAATGTTTAAAGGTTTTAATTGGTGAATGGAGTCTAATGACTTATTTAAGGCTGAAAGCACGGCGTGAAGGACTTGGTCTTGATTTGTAATTTGGGTTTGACTTGGAACTTGTTGATCTTGACTAAAAACTTGTTGAGTTTGACTTAAAACATGACTTGGCAGCACCCAGTCCAGACTTGCGTCTCTAAAACACTGCCTAAGTCCTCCTCCTGTACGGTGTTTCTGTTATTTTGTCCACACATGTACTGTTAATGCAGAGAATTCATAGCCATGTCAAAATGGAATTTATAGTGATTTCTTTTAATTTGATTTCTTCTGGTTAGAAATGATAAACAGAAGGCAAGCCACTATTTATACTTTAAAAACGTATTTTCACTAAAAATGCCATTTCCAAATTTATTGATGCATATATATTAATTTAAACTGATTGTTGGAAAGGGGTATGGATGATTTTGGACACTGCATTTTTAATATAAACATTAAAATACTAAAACAATACACAGAAGTAGTTAAATTCATTAACGTCTCAAAAATAAATACAAAACTATAAAGCGCCATTCAGCCCCTCAGCGACACCTTCAGGCCAACTGTGGTAACTGCAGAAACAAGGAGCTCAAAGATCGTATATGATGCAGATGCTCCTCACCTCTCTGAAACGAGTACACGCTGTCTTTGTGCTGACAGGTGAGGACGACCACCGTCCACCTGAACCCGCCGCTGTCCGACATCTTCCGATGGCTCTCAGCTGCTTGTAGCGTCCTAAAGCCCTGTGGAGGTCATGTCTTCAACGTGGAGCCAGCATAACCCGGTTCGACCCGGTATAACAAACCACAAAAAGCACAAACAGTTAGCTACTACTACTACTGTTAGCACAATAAACCGAGGCAGCGGGGCGGAGTTAGCCTAGCAGGAGACGGAGAAGTAAAACTGACCATGAACACACATTAAACTGCTACTTTATATCGCTAAAAAAGTTCACGTATATAAATATATACACTTCCTGGTTTACAAAAGCTAATTTCACACAAAGCTGATTTCTGTTTGCTAGCTGCATCTGTGAGTTTTGACTGTTCGGGCTTCCGTAGCTACAAACTTTGGCGTTTGATTTCAATCTTTGGACCTCTCGGGGAGGCGGTAAGCTAAAAGGATACAGGCGATGAAACAGTTTAAGATCAGGTAGTTGTTGCTAAACGAGTTTAGTCAGGAGTAAAATATTTCAGAGGAGCTTTTACGAAAACCTGAGTGAAAATTAAAGTTTAAGAACGTTTTCAAATAAATAAATAAAGTCACTTGTATAACCGTTATATGTTAATTTGGTTTACTGTCCGGGACGTCCCGGTATGTAGAGCAGACAGTCTGTGGTTCATGACAGTTGAGCCTCATGTTCAGAAGATTTTTAATCACAAATCGTAACTTTTGACTTATTCGGTCACATTTATGAAATATGATCTCATTGTCTCCTGATGAATTAGGAAATCAAGACTTTGATGTACTAAGTTATTTTTTAAAGTAGAATTTTCATACCTACACCAAACTTAAAACATCAAGTATTTTTTGTTTTTAGTTAGTAAATCTTGATTTTTCAGATAAAGGGGCAAAATTAAGAACCAAAACTTAAAAATTCTAAAAATATCAAGTAAAACTGATGGGGGAGATTCAGATTCTTTTTTTTATTATTATTAAAAAGTGTTGACTTCATATCTTAGATTCTTTGATTTAGTAGCTAACATTTTGAGATTTCATTTCATATTATCTCTCACTGACTCAGTAAAAATGTTGTCCTAGCAAGTTTCTCAGTAATTTGTTTTGTCCCCAAGAGCCACGTGAGTTTCCACCATCATCCTTTCTGTTTTAATACCCAACACAATTGGATATTTTCATCGCTTAGCTCTGAAATAAACCATTCCACTGTTTTACACCCTTCTGGACACTTATTTTCATTACTTCTTTATATATTAGCAATGATTAACCAAATAAAAAAAAGACATTTTGTCAACACACTGTTCAAAAACTGTGAAAAAACACCAGATTTAATTAAATTGTACCACATCCAAAAGTGAACTCTTCAAATTTAAAAACCAACAAGCACAATGTTCTGACATCTGCACAACAAATTATTTGTTTAGCAAAACAATTTCCTGTTAATTTTCCTTTCAGTTGACAAATCTATGGAGCAGCTCCAGTTTAATCACATTCCTTATAAAAGGAGTTGTTTTAAAGCGGCTTTACTGGCCGATGAGTCCGTTTCAGGGCGTTCATGTTCCTCATCGCTCCTCCACTTGTGTCAGAGCTGCAGCAGCTAGTCAGTCAGTCCACTGACAGAACACCAAATTCCATTTTAGATAGCTGTCAATATATTGTGTATAAAAATAAACGGTATCTTTGGGTTCCAACTTCACAAAACAGAGAAAAGGTTTTAAAAAATAAAAATCTAAAGATGTCACCTGGAAAATAAATTCTGTCACTTTTTGCTGCTTTTCAGTAAAATGGAAACAAAAAACATCAGTAGATTAACTGGTAATAAAACATTACAGACACCCTGCAGGTTAAAGACAATGTTAAAAAAAGAAATGTTTAATAAACTATACAAAATGAATTCAGTGGAAGTTATATACAGATGTACATGAGAATGTCACGAAGCCTGTTCGCAGGCAGCAAACTGATTCATTCATCGTCCTCCTCGTCCTCAGCAGGCAGCGGTCTGGACCTGCACGTAAACAAACAAAACGTCAGGAAAATAAATTCATCCAACTACAACATGAATATAACTTTAACCTAATTTGCCTCAATGATCAGTTTAGAGTTGGATTATTGGAAATATTTGGGTTTTACTGAGCCGTGATCCAGTGAGAGCTGCAGCTATCGATCGACTCATCAGTTAGTTTATGTAGTAAAAGAAATCATCTGTGCAAACTTCTTTTAATCGTAGACACTTCACACGACAAAGGAAGGCTGTAAATAGGCACATTCAGGAAACTAAAACAACAACTGTTGTAAACAATTAAAAACCACAATCACATTTCTTATGGTTTATTAATTGATCAATAAAAGCCTCTGCAGGGGGACAACAGTTTTTCAGGTAGTTGCTTCCTCAGAGTATTCAAATGATGGACATAAAATTTTCAGTTTCGAGAAGCTCAGGTACAGGTGTTCCTAATCCTGTTGACTCCACTTAGTATTATTATTGTGGTTCTATGTTGTCAGACAGAAGATTTGAAACACGTCACAAATCCGATCTTTGGGGGGATTTTCAGGCAAAACATAAAAAGACACTTGAATGGTCTGTAGGAAATGACAAGCAGCATATTTTTTACTACTTTAAAGTCAAAACAAACAACAAATTAACAGAAACTACTTGTCAGTTACAGCGTTTGCACACACATCTGTAGTGATGGTCAAAGCTAAAGAAAACTGGGGACACGAGAATTTATTATTATTTATCTGGAGATTATTTCTACAAAGTTAATTGATTTGTTGACAAATTGACAGAAGATTTAAAGTGTCAGCTGTCTTGTTTTGTTCAACCAACAGTCTAAAATCCCAAAGATATTTATTTAACATCACATGGACAAAGGAAAGCAGCAGTTTTTCTTAACCAATTGATTATTGTTGCAGCTTTGAAATGGTTTAGAATATTTTAAAAGCTCCTGTGCAAATGTGTTTTAATGATTAATCTGCACATTATTCCCGTAGATTTATTAGTTTGTCTGCAAAATGAGAGGAAAATAGTAAAACTGTTGTTTGCAACTGTTTCAAAATTCCCCCAATCTGCTCATTTAACAGCACTGAATATAGAAACATGAAATATTTTAGCCCATAAGACTGACAAAAGCAGCAAATCCTAACAAATGTCAGTTGGAACGTGGGACAGTTTGACATTTCACTTGAAGCGTGACTGCAATGATTCATTTATGATCAAAATAGTTATTGATCAGTTAGTAAACTAACTTTTGTGGCTCCAAATGTTTCATGGGGAAGAAAATCGACATCTGCAAACTAAACTCAGGTAAATGTTGTCAACGAACACTTAAATAACCTAAATGTGAAGCTAATTTGAGGTCATAATGTGCAGAGAACATACTTCCTGCTGGCCTTTGACATCCCGCTGCCTCCAGCCTCCTCATCATCCTCCACCTCCTGAGGTTTCAGGTTCTCCTTCTCGGGTTTCCTCGGTGGCCCACCGAAGAAATCTCCGATGCCTTTCTGCCAGGTGGGCGTTGGACGGGGACACACCGGGTTGCCTCCAGCATATTTGCCCTTTGCTGTAAATTACATTACAAACACAACAACGTCAGCATGAATCACGTCAGCTGCAGCGGGTTCATACTGAGCTGCGGTCAAACTGGGACTGACCCGGTGTGGACGAGCCGCTGCTGCTGGACGAGGACGCGTTGGCCGAACTGGAGCCCAAAGACTTACGAGGTGCAGAAGCTGCAACAGCTGTGAAATGAAAATGGAACAGAGCGATGAATTATGGGTAATAAAACAATAAAGGAAAAGCGGCATCCTGCAGCGGATGTCAGATAACACGACGTTTTATTGCAATCTGTGAGGGAGCTGAGTTGTGCAATACTGGAAGAAAAAAAAAGGCAATAGTTTAGCAGTTGGGGCATTAAAAAAATGCTGGAGTAAAAGAATCTCATACAATTACAGGAATCGACTGGACTAAAAATATATTTTCTCGCCTTAATTTAATAATTCGAATACATTTTTAAAATGGATATAAACAAACCTTTGCTGTGAAGTCACAACTTCAGGTTAAAACCAGTCAGCTTAATCTCAACAAGTATTAATGATAGAGCCGTACTATTTAAATTATTTAGATAAAAGCCCATAATTAATGACAAACAAAGTCAGGTGAAGTAGTATTTTATATAGATTTCTGCAGGATTTCAATCCCAAATATGTAAATTACTCAGCTAAAGTCACACCGCAAATAACACTAGAACATTTAAATGTGTTAGGTTAACTCATTACGCCAATCGTAATCTAATTTTATTACTGGACAGCACTGTAGCTCAACTGCTGTCAAATGTTTTGGTTTTTTTTTTTTTTTTTACAAAAATGGTGACTTGACTTAATTTTTAAAAAAACCTGAGATCAGGTGTATTTTTCAGCTTTTTAATGTTAGCACAATGTTTACATGTTAAAAAAATTAAATCACCTCCAATAATAATAATCACCATATATGTTTATATAAGTGCTGAATTTATAAAAGGATAAAGAGGAAATTTGTGAATTATAATACATTTGCTATCGTACTAATTTTACAAATTATTTAATTACAGGTTTTTGATATTATTTTACCCATGACATTTAAATTGAATCATAAGTAACAGTAAAAATTCTATAAAGTTCTGTTCTTTTACAGTGTACAGTTTGAGATTAGGATTTGGAATGAACGTTTGTTAAAGCAACATGTTTCAATACATGGGTATTTAAAATGGGTTTTTAGTGCAATTAGCCCTCAAGCAAGTCTTAAAAGTCCAGTTATTAACTATTGTATGCCGAATTAACCAAAAGACTCAACAGTTTGAGAAAACATCGTTTGTTCTGCCCTGTCCACTGCAATAAGGAAGAAACAGTTTAATTATGTAATACTTCGATGGGTTTCGTTGCGACTTTCGCACAAAGCCTCACAGCGGCGCTAAAAACTGGCGCCAGTTTGCAGGAAGCTCAGAAGTAACTTTAGGAAGTACCGGGTAAAATGACACTAAGTGAGATAAACCAGAAGTTGAAAGTAGAACTTTTATTTGTGACGATAACAGGAGTTAAAACTGGTTTATAAATGTTTTCAGCTGTTCAGGGGGAACCGAGAAGGCGGCTGACCAGCCTCCATGTTGGCGGGAGGCTGTTGTTAAAGACTGCGTGTGGATTTAACACGTTAACAGATATTTACTGTACTCACATGGTATCATTTAGGATATTTTTTAAAATCCTGATAACATTTGGAAACGAAATGCCGGCAGGGGTTCAATTAAGTCGCCTTTTCAGCTTTGTTTGGTTTAGCGCTCCCCGCCCGCCAGACTACATGAGAGAACAACCGTGTTTTTGCACAAACTCGATTTTTAAAGCCGATTTCGAATTACTAGTTGAAAATAAGTTACTGTACCTTTTCTGTACGATGCAGGAACACTATCGGCTTTAGTCCTCACCATGTTGGCAGCGACCTGTACAAGCAAACGATGCTTCAGTACCAATTACAGCGACCAGACTGAGGGCAGTGAGTCGTCCCGCCTCGGTTTAAAAGAACAGCGGATGGGGCGGGAGATTTCTTCTTCTCCGTCTCTATTCTGGTACACGCAGGCGCAGTGGTGACGTAACTCTGCCTCCTTCAATGACTCTGTCAAACTGCAACTTCAACTGGTTCCTGTTCTGCAAAAACCTTGAACGCTCTCTTACATGGTGCATTTTCATTTTGTCACTTGCTTGCAAACTGTTAAATACCTGGAGTAAATGCTACTAAGATCCGGTGAAAAAAAAAAAAAAGAATGCAAAAACAACAACAACAACAACAAAAAACTGCAAACATCTGGTATAAATACTCTAAATATCTGATTTAAAAAATAAAATACAATAGGAAGCTGGTATAAATACTCAAGATATTACTACAAAAATATAGTGCTAATACTACAAAGACCTGATGGAATCATGACAAAAGACCTCCAAATATCTGGTGGAAATATTACAAAGATCTGAAACAAAGGATGCAAGGATCTGGTATAACTATTATAAAGTTCTGATAGAAATACTACAAAAGATCTGGTATAAACCACTACAAATGCCTGGTATAAATACTCTGAATATCCAATAGAAATACGTCAGATATCTGGTATCTAACCCTAACCCTAACCCTTAAAACAATAGATCTGCTAGAAAAGCTGCAAATATCCAGTAGAAATGCTACAAAAATGTAATGTAAATACCACAAAGGTCTGATTGAATTGCAACGAAAGATCTGGTAGAAATATTAAAAATATCTGATAAAAATATTACAATGATCTAGAATAAATACTCCAAAGATCAAGTATAAATACTTCATATAGCTGGGAGGAGCACTTCAAAAGATGTGGTGTAAAATAATGCAAGTAATTGGTAGAAAAAAATCAAAGAAAAATTACCCAAATACCGTGTAGAAAAACCACAAATAGTTTGACTAAAATCTTGTACAAATACTCCAACTATCTAATAGAAATACTACAAAAAATTTGTATAAATACTCCAAAAATGTGACAGAATTTTTTTCACACCAGTTGGTGGCGGTAAGGCACTAAATTGCTGTTTGTTGACCTCCTATGAACCTTAAAGAAGAAGTAGAAGAAGAAGCAAAAGAAGGCGAAGAAGAAGAAGAAGAATTCCAAAAAAGTCGTTTGTACTTTTTGTCCCGCCTGCTTCCCGTAGTGGCGGTTTATTGGCTACAGGCGGATCACAAAACAAAACATCTTTAGCCATTTTTCAGTTATTAAATCATCTTTCAGGGTTTGTATGACACGTTTTACGGAAATCTTGTCAAAGCTCTTAGACTTTCTGACAACTTCCCGCTAGTTTCGTGCTGTTTTCTGGTTGTTTTGCGTCTGTTCGGTAACTTTAAACCCCGGCGAGGCTAATGTTGTCTCCACTTGTGGCTAACGTTGACATTTAGCTAGTTAGCGGTAACTAACTGCAGCGGCTGCTAGTTAGTGTAACGGATTAAACTAGTGGCGTCTCACTAACGTTAACTAGTAATGCTGTTTTTCTTAGTTAAATATGAACAACTGAACCAGTTGTTTAGTGTTATAAAAAGTTTATTAACCTTTAAGAACTTGGTGTGATCAAAAGCTGTCAGCTACGAGAAAAGGCTAAAAAACGATGTGAAATGTCTTTTAAAGTGATTGAAAACACTTACATTTCTCTTACGAAGGTGTTGAATATGTTTTCTGTGTTGCCATATTGAGTAATGTCACTCTTAAAATGTGATTTTACCAAAAACTGCCCAATATTATTGTTATAATATTTACAACACATAACATTTAGCTAATAGTTGTCATTGCTCGCTTTATAAGCTCATCTGTGTATTCACTTTCTGATCGCATTTATTTTAATTATTTGCATCCTTAGGATTTATTGTTTACAGCTGGTGATGACAGATAATATAGTAAACAACAGAAGTGTGCAGGATCACTTAAATGTCAGCTGATTCTAAATAATGTCACCTTATAGTAATCAGATTGTCTATTTTGTTTATTTCTCTTTTCATTATACTTAAGACAGCATAGTGCTGAAACTGGCACTGATTTGCGTTTTCTGCTGTTATAGAAAAGTCTTTAAACTTGGTGAATCTGCACAAACTTTGATCTGTTTAATTGATTGTTGTTCCCTGTCTTCTCCATATAAAACAATTTTAACTTCTGCTTTAGTAACGTTAATAAATAAAGGGCGTCTTCACTTCCTTTGTTAGCTGTTCAAAAGTGATAATGAGGCTCGACAATACTACTTTAAATTTTTTGGCCTCCCTGTGAGGTATGACCTCTGTTATCAACCACACAGGATTAGAGCTTCAACTTATGATCGATTTTCTTACGGTTAATTGAGTTTTATTAGCAATAAATTCATCGTTTTGTCTAGAAAGCGTCACAGTGCGGTCTTGGACACGTGTATTTTGTTTAAGCACCAGTCCGAAACAGAAGACAGGGTCGGGAAACATCAAATGAGATCATGAAATTGCTGCTCATTACATTCATGTGTGTTTGCTTCCACCTCCAGGCGTCGCCATGGAGGAGGTGACCCGCCTGGTGTCCACTGGAGACTCCGTCAAGATCTGGGATGCGGTTTCCATGGCACCGCTGGAGCAGTTTAACCCTCACATCACCAGCCACCCTGTCGCTCAGGCCTGCTGGAGCTCCAACAGTATCCTTCTGACTGACGCTGCTGTTTGGATGTTACTACCAGCTAGTGATTATGTGCATAGCCGATTTGTAGTTCATTAGTTTTGTTGGTCTATAAAATGTCAGAAAATGGTGAAAAATCAGAGTTCCTCAAAGCCCAAGATGACAAATTTATTGTTTTTTCACAACCTTAAGATATTCAGTTTACTGTTGTAAAGGAGGAAAGAAACCAGAAAATATTCACATATAAAAAGCTGCAAGCAGAGAACTTAAAATTTATTGATTTTTTAAAAATTACTTAAACTAATTCATCAATAGGCTGCAAGCAGCTTGGTGGTTAGCACTGTTGCCTCGCAGCAAGAAGGTCACTGGTTTGTGTCCCGGTGAGGACATCTTTCTGCGTGGAGTCTCCATGTTCTCCCCGTGCAGTGTGGGTTCTCTCTGGGTTCTCCGGCTTCCTCCCACAGTCTGAAAACATGTTGAGGTTAATTGGTGATTCTAAATTGTCCGTAGGTGTGAATGTGAGTGTGCTTGGTTGTCTGTCTCTAAGTGTGGCCCTGTGATAGACTGGTTACCTGTCCAGGTGAACCTGCCTTCACCCTAAATCAGCTGGGATAGACTCCAGCCCCCAGTGACCCTAGTGAGGATTAAGCAGTGTATAGATAATGGATGGAATTTGGTGTTTATCAGCTGAGGGAGGAATTTCCTGCTCGATCACATATTAGAAGCGTTTGCTGTTTTTATCTGGAGATCTGAAAGAATTAACTTTCGGTAAAAAGTAAAAAGTGGACCATCTTTGACTCGTTTTTCCAGACCAGTACCTGGTCAGCGCCAGCGCCAGTGGAGACAAAGTGGTGGTTTCCAGTCTCAAGTCGGCTCCTGTTCCAGTGGTGGAGCTGGCCGACGGGGTGAGTCAACAGCTTTGTTTTGTGTTTTCACAGCTGTGAAATGTGTCATCAGGTGTTCAGTCTTGTCTGTTGCTGCTGTGGGCGGTGATATAACATTTTTCTGTGTGTTGCTGTTTTGAGGAGTTGTTGTTAAACTGCCATAGGATTGGTGTGAGTGAATCACGCTGCGGGAGGCTGCTCAGTCGTCCTCTGTTGAGTTTTGGTCCTCTTATCAACAAACCTGTTTCTGAGACGATGCCACAGAGTTTTCTCTCTCATGTCGGACTTTATGGTTCATTATACTAATGTTAAGTCGTTGTTGAAGCAAATGTGTCGTTGTCGTTGTCTTTAATCAATATTTGATCAGTGTTGCTTCTATTATACTTTGGATTTTCATATTTTTAATAGACTGAAAGTGTAAACTGACCTTTAAATGGTTCTTTTTTAAGGGAACAGTTGGTGGAATTGTTAATTTTCTGGATAAATTTGATGTGGTGCCGATGCAGAATGTGATGGATGCTCATTTATTTGTAAAAGTCCCACACAGTCAGAGAATGAGGACTTTTTTTTTCTTTCAAAAATTACTCAAGCCGATTATTTGATTATCACATAATAGTAGCCAATCAACTGATTCCTCACTGCAGCATGAGTAGACAAACAGTATCAATCTGTGGCTGTTAAACTTTGGTTTGGTTGCTGACTGCTAATGGTGAAATCTGTTTGTTGTTAGTGTGTAGATTAGTGACTTGAATCTGCACACTGCATTGTGGGAAATGCTGTACTGCACTGAGACCACATGGCAGCAAGTCAGCTATGTGATAAATGTAATAACACATTGAAAAGTGTGTCCTTTCACACCTGTGTCTCATATGGAGAAAACCAAACTGTATGTTGTCTGTATTTTAACCGATTGTTCCTAACTGTGCGTTCAGAAAAAGCAGACTCGTGTGTGTCTGAGTTCGTCGTCTCAGTTTCTGGTCAGCGGAGGTTTGGATCACTGTGTTCACATCTGGGACCTGAAGACCAAAAGGCTGCACCGCTCGCTGAAGGTAAGACAGTTCTGAAATCTGCTGCAGTTCAAGCTAATGAAGAAGAGAAGCCGTAACTAGTTTCCCTCCATCTGTCTTTCAGGACCATAAAGAAGAAGTGACCTGCGTGTCCTTTAACGCCAACGACAGCTACGTCGCCTCCGGATCCACCAGTGGAGATCTGGTCCTCCACAGTCTGACCACCAACCTGTCCAGCAAAGCGTTCGGCCACGGAACCAACCAGGTCAGACTGTGTTCTGCTACAAACCTGCAGCAGCTGTTGACTGTTCAATCAATGTTTCTGTCACATAAAAAACTATCCACAGAGAGCGAGAGAGAAGGTGCATGATGAGAATAAACACAGAGCACTTAGAACCCTAACCCAGTCTGTTTATTTATTTTATAACTTAGACTTAGATTAGTTTACACGCTTGATCTTTCCTTGTAGAAGCACTTACCAGTTTAGAAGTTTGAAACATTAGAAATACAAGAGGAAACAACATGAATTAACAGGTGGTAATCCACATCAGTTATCCTTAATAAGCAGTCAAATATGAAATCAGAATAAAACAAAAAAGAAATCTAGTATAAACAACAGACTATTCAATTGATAATGTGGGATATAAGTTTTGGGTTTTTTTTTCTTCAAATATGATGTCCAACAAAGTCTGTTTGGTTTACAACAAACAATTATTCTTCTGTTGGATTTTCAGTCAAACATAGTTCATGACCTGTCAGACAACGTCTTCAGTTTTTTTGTTTGTCTTTCAGCGTCTAAGTTATTCTTTCTAAGGGAATATTATCATTTGTCATATCCAGCGGGTAATAACTTCATTAGTCATTTTTTGGCATTTAGAATCCTGAGCTTCGTCAGTATTTGTTCATTTTTATGCTCTTTTGAATTTAGACCAAATAGAAATATGTGAGGGTTTCATGGGAGTCCTGTAGAAATGATTCTCACATGAAATTCTGACCTCTTCACAGAACACGTCATTCTTTCTGCGAACAACGAAGCATTTGTGTTATCAGGCAACATCCGAACCTGAATCTGAAGAAAAAGTTCTTCAGTTTTATTTTGTGACAGTGAAGCAGAGTTAAATCATGCTATTGTCTGCTGCCATTTCTTTTCCTTACATGAACTTCTGTTCCACCTTCAGCCCATCCACGACCTGCGGCTGTCCATGGTGAAGCGCTCGCTGCTGGGGAGCGTTTCTGACAGCGGCACCGTGGTTCTGTGGGACTCCAACACCCAGAAGGAGCTCCACGTGTTCGACAGCGCCCACAAGGCCCCGGGCTCCGGCCTGGCCTTCTCCCCCACCAGCGACCTGCTGGTGGTTAGCGTCGGCCTCGACAAGAAGATCGTCTGCTACGACACCGCCAGCAAGATGTGAGTCACGACACGCTTTAACGCCACACCACGCCTCAAAAACTGCTCAGGATTTAATGGAGATTCATTATTCTATCTCAACAACAGTTTAAAGTTTCATTCAGAGTTTATTTTTTCTGGCGTATATGACGTTAAAATGAGCAGATCCTCACATTTGAGAAGAAGAAATCAGAGATGAATTGACATTTATGCTTGAAAAGTTGCACATTGATGTACTGGCAGGTTATTAACTCATCATTTCAGCTCTAATCTGTTCTTATTTAAATAAAACTCACAGCTTCTCGGTCGAGGTGTAATGGTTCGCATGCTTGCGTTGAAAATTTTCAGTATCAGAATCGGCTTTAGTAGCCAGGCACATGAGCACATATTTGAAATTTATAAAGTGCAAAATAAAACACACATGCATGTATGTAGCATTGGCTGCAGAAGGAAAATGAGTGTTTACCTGCCATGTAAAGCTTCAGATATGTGTAGAAGAGCATGTTTAAAGTGAACCAAAGCTTAGTGCAAGTACAGGTAATGACAATAAATACAGTTATTGACACTTCATGTACATGATTTAGGTGAACGAATGAACATTGAGCAGCATTTTTGGGATAAAATAAAACACGTGATATACAGTGTGTATTGTATATGCTGTGGTTCAGGGTCGGGATTCAGAATGAGTTGGTTCTGACTGAACTAAATATATATATAAATGTCAGTGATGGACTAAAAGTAGGTAATTTTCTAAATGATGCGTTTTAATAGTGTGAAGCTAACAGCTGCTGATGTCAGTAAACCTATGGTAGAGTTTAAGCACTTACTTTACTGCACCTTAATGGATTTTGATTTCTCTGCATTGTAAGTTTTACTTCTTTATTCATAGGTTGCAGCAGTGCTGGCAGATTTTTTTTTTAAAGAAAGAAAACCATTGTTTGATTACAAAAAAAGAAGCAGTTTAATGTTTTATATTTTTTGTTTTCTTTTGCCGAAAACCTGACGTTCATTTGCCTTTTCTTTATCTTCTGCCCGGATTAAGTTGTGATGAACTCAGACAAGTTCACATTTATGTCGTGTACATCGGGTGTATAATGTTGTCACGTGTGTCTTCAGTCTCCTGCGGTCGATCCGTGTGGACAGTCCTCTGACCGCCGTGGACTTCACCCTGGACGGGACCGGTCTGGTGGTGGGATCCACTCAGGGGAAGATCTACCAGTACGACCTGAGGAACTCCAGCGCCCCCACCAGGATCACCGTGGCACACAAGACCTCCGTCACCTGCCTGCGTTTCCAGAGCAACGCCAGCAAACACAAGGTAGCCTGACGCTAAACAAAGGAGTCACACACTGAACATGATGGTGGACGTTTAAGTGACACCATCAAGTTATTGATCCATAAATAAATCGTAGTTCAAAACCTTTATTTGAGATCAAGTCTAAAATGAAGATATTATCACTCCTTAAACTTCAAATTAAAAACTTTGTTGTGCAGTTTTCTTTAAACAAGTACATTTTATTTATATTCAGTATTCTAAAACACTCTCTGTGGGTCATTGGTCTGCTGAATCTGTGACCTTGATGGTTTAATAATGTGCATTTGCATGATTTCCCAGTGTATCATCTGGAAAAATATAATCTGCACACTAGAGTAGATGCTCGCAAAGATCATGTGTTAAAGTGACGTTTTGAACACTGTAGTAATTTAATAAACATTCCTGAGAGCATTAATATTCGGGAGCAGGCAGCATTTTTCTACATGTTGACACACATAAATTTTTTTCACATGGATGTGCGTGCTTTTGTATGTTTTTTGAGACATATTACATTTATTTTTCACCTGTCATTCAGCAGTAGTTTGCATCTTTATTGGTATTTTCGCAGTTTAAATAAGTTCCACTAGTATTTAACACAATCGAACCACCTACACCAGTCAAAGGAGAGATGCTGGTACATTAACAACAGACATCTGTACATTCTCATCACGTTAAGCCACGCTGTGAATAGAATTAAACCCTCTCTCTCTGCCTCCACACTCAGTCCAGTAAACTGGGCTCCACCAAGATTTCCAGCACTAAAAGATCCTCCATCAAACTGTCCAGCAGCCAGCCGGAACCGCCCTCCAGCACAGGCCCCGCCCCCCACAGACAGGTGACCAGCACAGGTGGGTTCAGCTCATGTGACCTCACACTGCAGAATGTTATGTTGAATTGTATGTTGAACTCTTTTCCACTCAGATAACTACTGTGTCTGCCAGAATATGACTACAAACCTCCCTGAAATTAGGTTTGATGGCGTGAGCAGCAGAGGAGCACGGTCTTCTGCAGAGTGTTGCATTATGGGCTGTTTGTAGCCATAATGTTGCTAAGCTAGTGTGTTTATAGTGAGTCTTTCAGAGTCAGTCAGTGCTAACAGTGTTCAGGTAGTCCAGTTTAACCTGCAGCAGCTTCTGGAAACAAATTCAGTCTCTTTATGTCTTGTGCAACAGAAATATAGCAGAAAATCAGAGAGACATTCTGGGAAATATTGGAAAATATTTATGCATATTTGGCCTGATGTTGGTAACAATACGTACCGTTCTTTTGTGTCCAGGTGGAGGCGCCGGTGCAGAGGTGATGAGTCGGGAGGCTGAAGGGCATCACGGAGCAGAGCAGCCGCCTGTCGTGGAAAAGTTCAGCAGCGTCGGACGAAACAGCCTGGACATCTTCTCTCCTGCTCGCGAAGGTCAGGTCTCTGATTGGCTGAGAAAAGGAACTGCACCTCATTAAATCACCCATGAAAACACGGAGCTAGAATCTTAGAATTAAATCTGACTTCAGCTGTTTCAGTGTTTTAGCATTTTTAGCAGGACTGCATTATATGCAGAGGTGTTGCTGGTATTCTGACTCCCTCTGGAATGTAAATGTGGCACAAAAAAAGTTAAAAAAATCTCTCAGTATAATGCATTTAAATTTTAATCTTTTCATTTATTCTTTAATTTAGCTTTTATTTGAACTGAGTACATTGAGGTATGAAGGCCTCATTTGCAGTATAGTTGAGTACAAGAGAAAAGATGTCAACACACAAATAACCTTAAAGTTAGTAAAATACAACAATAATTAATGTGTTTAATTTTTGTGAACAAATTTATAAGCTCAAATAGGAATAGCTGGAAGTTAAATAGGATGAAATTAAGTGAAATTTACTTGAAGGAATCATTTTAAATGAACAGGTTTACATGGTAGCAATAACTTGTACATTTCTATCTAATATTGTTGTAGCTGAGTGTATAAGTGATGCCTGCTGGTGGTTGATGTTCAACACAACATTGCTGCAGTCCACACACTGTACGTGGCTGCTGGAGCAGAGAGAAAAAAGGAAAAAATATTATCATTTGAATTTCTCAGTCTCAAATGTATCAGAGGAACATTTCAGTCTCGTGTCGTCTCGCTGTAACCGTCTTCTTTCTGTCCCGATGCTGCTCAGATGGTCCAGACTCCAGGATCCCAGGGACGACCGGAGACACCCCGTTTGGACGGACACATGGTACTAACAGGGCGTCACCTCTCGGTCCGTTCGGAGCGACGCTGCCAGTTCTGGACTAACTTTGATGCTGTGTTTCCATAGTTACCAGCCTGGAGATGCTGTCCAGAGAAGGGGAGGGTCAGCAGCTGATTGGTCGGGGCAGTCTGGACATCTTCTCCCCGGTCAGAGAAGGTCAGAACTCCGCCGCTGTGCTGGTTAGGATGCAGACATGAAATCCTGCTTGTAGCTGAAACCTGTTTGCTGCATCTACATAAACATGCAGCAGGTCAACGGGCAGATTTCTCCCAAACAACCAACCTTATACTAGGAGCACTGCAACAATATTCCACCTTCAAAAACCTTTTGATATGGAGTGCTGTGCTGCAGACTACATTAGCTACATTAGCTAACATAACACACACTAAACTCTAAGAGCATTGTGGGTAATGTAGGCACACGGTTTTAACAAGGAAGAAGAGCAATAGATAAAGTGTCCACTATGAGTCTGACAGTGTAATAACAGTAAAATGATTAATCTATGGATCTCTTTTCATTTTGATAATATTTGAAAATATAAAAAACCTCATGGTTACCTGTATCCACCTGGGTTTACCTGCACCTAAACAGGGCTAGATATTAAGACTTTTAGTGATACTACTGTTGTTATCGATCTGACACTTTAACAATACGTTGTCGGCCATTTTTCAAGATAAAGAATGAAACTAGTTAAGAACAGAATTAACATTCCTTTATTCTCTCTGTTTGCTAATTTCCCTCTCTAGCAATTCTTCACTTTTATTCAAATAACCCCCTGAATGCTGGGAGTATTTTTACTGTGCAGTATTAATAGTTTTGGATACTACTTCCCTTACCGCTGTCAACTCCAGCATTCTGTTGGAGAAAGGATGAAAACAGAGCAAGTCAGAGTTTGTCTGCATGATTAAATCGCTTCTAGTTTAGGAATAATGAAAATACACCATAGATGAATCGGAAACACAGTTGTTAAGATAAAATGTGTGAGATAATGTTGATATATCAGCTGGGAGTGCTTAAGCTGTTAAGGTCACGCACACACTGACTAATAGGTGAAGTTTCTGTGATTGTTGTCATGGAGACGTGATTCGCTGTGTTTCAGATTCCCAGTCAGGTGCCAACTCCCTCCGTAAGACCCCCCTGGGAACCCCTCTGGGAGTCGCCTTGGGAACCCCGCTGTTGGGCTCCGGAGGACGAGGCTTCAACCCGCAGTCGGTCTTCCAGACCCCCCCGGCAATAAAAGAGGAGGAGCCACTCGCGGCTGGAGCTGCAGAAGCATGTGACTCCAGAAAGGTGATGATTTCTGTGTTCCAGTATCCATACTAGCATACTACATATCAGGCTAGAAAAAGACTGTGTAGGTACAGATACCGAGTCAGTCACACACAGTATGCAGACAACACCAGGATGTGTTACAGCATCCAGTTGGATTTTGCAGTGTCAAAGCCAGTGTGCCTCTCTGGCCAGCTCATTTCATGAAGAAGTATGTACATTGTGAAGGCAGCTGTAGTTCGTGGTGAAAGTAAAAAGACAAAGTATGCAATTGGAAACCCGAAATCAAAGAAAAACGTCCCATCAGAACCTTCCTGAGAATCCTCATAGTTTTTCATTCTCACATTGATCCGGTGGTAGATGTCTGCACGTCCATGATACACTACAGAGAGTTTGGCTACTTTACATACATTTTTTTATTACTGATTCCTTTAATCAATCTTTCCTCCTAGTCTGACAAGGCCAGCAGTTCCAGCCTGGAAGCAGAGGGTAAAACCACGCCCACCATGTCCCAGCCGACCAATCACAGTCAGCCGGCCCCGCCCTTCTTCACTCCAGAGCCCGGCCTCCGGCGAGCCAATGGCGTCCAAGCTCAGCTGAGCTACGACTCACCTGTCCAGGGAGCTCCAGCCACCACCACCACCACCGCAGCAGGTAGAGCATCACGCCCACACTGTCAGCAGAGTGCAGGAGAAGCTGTACGACCACGCTATATCGAACGGCCAAAAAAAAACAATCTTATATATAGTATGTTGGCTGCAGTATGCCAAAATAGCCAGCGCTGGTGTCAGGGGTTAAATGCTGCGTTCAGGGTCGGGGGTTCTGTTGGAAAAGCAAGAAGTGATTGTGCTGGATGTCTGTTCCTTCAGGTCTGTCGGCGGCCATGTCCTCGTCTCTCTCCCAGAACATCGCAGACGTGGTCGGGCAGGCGGGAGCTGCTCCTCTCACCTCCCTGCAGATCCACTTCATCCAGAACATGATCCACGAAACCATGGAGGAGTTCAGGTCAGGCTCGGGTCTTTTTGATCTGGTTCGTTCATGAGTAGTTCAAGGACTGTTGGAAAGATGACAATCCAGTCATTCTGTTAGTTTCTGGCAGATAAATGGTGTCATTTTGGTTCAGAGGTTAGAAGAAGAGGCATTTCCCCTTTCAAGCTTAGTGCTATTTACAAGAAATATGAATAGTTCTCTAAAAACATTAAAAAGTTTTACGAGTTTCACACAGAAGGAAACCAAAAAAGTAGTTTCGAGGTTCAGGACAGAACTGAGATGCTGCTGTCAGATTTCTGTCACCAGAGAATTGGACAATTTCCTCGGGAAACCTCCGGAGTCGCACAGAGCACAAAAGTAGTCGCACAAAACACGAGACAACAGAAAACCGACCCACATCAACAGACAAGTCTGTCCAGAGCTGTAACAGAATGTTGGTGGCAGCAGGAGAGTGTACGTAGGACCGAGATAAAAGCAGAGCAGCAGTGTGGTTCAGAGGAGTCGGAGGCGTTTCAGCATTTAGATGCAGAATAAAAATGTGGGACATCAGCTGACTTTAAAGGCCTGTAGGACCCTGATGGTCTGATTTTCTTCTTCTTCCTCTAATCAGGAACGCCTGTCACAAAGACATCATCAACCTGCAGATCGAGATGGTCCGACAGTTTTACATCCAGCTGGTACGAGCCGTCGTTTCTTCTCTGTAGATCGGATCTTCTGATTAAATTCACCCTCCCTGCAACTGTTTCTCTTTTTATTTCTTGTCAACACTGAAACACAGCAGATTTAATTTGGCTGTTTTGGACTAGAATTTACAAAAAATAAATAGTGTCCAAGTGAAAACTAATTCCTGAAAAGTAATGTTAAATTGTGAAAAATCTAAAATGTAAACTAACTGATTGCAGAAGTATTCACCTGGTTCCACACAGGTGCAGCCAGTTGGTGCTACAAGTGCAGAGAATGTGTCTGAGTGAGTGTAGTGCGTAGTGTGGACCTGCACCTGCGTTAAGTTATACTTGAAATGAGGTGGAAAGTAATGCAGTCACTTACTTTACATTTTATAGTTTTAATTAACTGGCATTACTTTGTAGAAATCTGTTTACACATTGACAGGAAAGACTCTTTTTTTTGTTAAATTCTTGGCAAAAAAGCCAAAATTAAATTGACTGTGATTCAATATTAAAATGCAATAAAAACAGAAAACGTCCTCGGAGGTTGAACACTTTTTATATTCACTGTTTTTCAACGCTGTGACGTGTCGTTCTGTTTCAGACGGAGATCCACGGCTTGATAGAGAAATACTCCGTCAACGAGTCTCTGGTGGAGGAGATCGAGAAGCTGAAGGAGGAGAACCGGCGGCTCAAGGCCAACTACTGACCTCTGTGACTGTGCTGCCCCGAGTCGATGCGACGACGACGCTGCTGCTGCTGCTGCCTGAGAGCTCAGTCTGCTTTACTTCATTACTGCCTCAGTCGGCTCCTGCAGCAGCAGCCGGTGAGAGCGACGCTCATGTGTGCGTTTTTTACAGATGGACCGAGGCTGGACGCGTTGTTTGTTTGATGAAATGTCTGATCAGGCGTTTTTTGGTGTAATTTATGAAATAAATGTAATGTCACGGCCTGTGAGAGTCGGAACAGACGTCGGTTCATGTGTGCCTTTATCATGTTTACATTTTGTCTAAAGAATTAAAAAGATGAATGGTTAATGCAAGGAAAAGAAGTGCTGTCTTTTATAAATGTAAACAGAAAGTGAGAAATAAAGCAGGTAGAACTGGTCATCTGTAGCACTTTAACTTCTTTAATTCTGGTTTTGTTAATGTTGTGCATTGAGGATGCTCTTTTTGACTCAGCTGTGACATCAGTGCAGGTGGCAGCAAATGAAGATGGTGTCTACAGCTCACATTTGTTTACATAATTCAAAATTTAGTTTATTGAGAGGAAACCGTGTCCATTTTTGCGCTTCACACCATTATTATTACATTAAAGTGGCAGAAACGCGCAAAAACAAAGCCCTTAAAACACATAACCATGTGAAAAAGGTTTTCACAGTCTAGCTCATGAGTGTTCAGATGGTTAAACATGCTTTTTGCTCTTTCAATTGTTAAGAAAATGATGAAGCTTCATTAAAAAAGATGGGGGAGAACTGGGAGATGCAGCCCTTTAACACAATGTCCAAAGTTAAGTAATTGAATCATCGTATGCATAAAGTCTGACCTTTTCTTAAAGTGTCCTTATATTATTGATGGATTGATTTACATTGTTGTCATGCAATAATAAAATGCTGCTTTTATTTTGAAAAAGAAACCGGGTCCACAGGAGCACCAAAATGTCAAATAAAAGATGTTTTTCAAAGACTTAAGGAGACAAAGTTAACCAATTTATAAAATAAACATAATATTCTACAATACATAGAACCAAACTTGACCACCAAGTCACTGTTATTTTTATGTCACATTTAAAACAACAGCTGCTGAGTCAAAGTCATTTCCAGTAGACTGACATTATAAATTTACAAAGCTAATCAATATTTAAGTTAGCCTTGATGTGAAATAACTTGAATATAATATTTTTTTGTGTAGGACAATGCAATACTATGTAATATATAAATGTACCTAACCAAATGAAATGCTACAATTAAGACCCTACATCATCATTTAACATACATTTGCTTAAATAAATTAGATAAAGTTAACACTGATATTATGCACATTCTTATATATGGAGAAAAAATCCATTTATAGATATCCTTGTATAAGCAGAAAAAAAATATTGTATACATTACTGTATATGCAGCAAAAGTAATATTGTGCAGGAAAAAAACACTAAATCCAATGATTCCCTGTAAGACAAGGATAATAGCGACCTAATATGTTAAAAGCCTTGAGCATAATGTGTGGAAACCTGATAGAAATGCTGAAAATTTTCACCTTTAAAAGTATTATATCCCATAAAACTTCAAGTAAAAACTCAGCACCTCGGCTTCTGTTCATGTTGTTGTGCGCATGCGCCGGCGACTTTCTCCGTCGCGGGGGTTTATTATCTGCTTGTGAGACACTCTTTGGTTGTTTACCTGTTAGCCGCTAGACAAGGAGCTTTAAAGGTTTAAAGGTTTAAAAGATAAAAAACGCGACTTTACGTCGGTTATATAAAGTCCACAGTTTCCTTCAAAGTTTTATGCAAACAGCAGAAAGGAGCTTAGGGAGACACTGCAGCTGTTTGGGTGGTTTTAGCAGAAGTAAGGAGGCTAACGGCAGCTAGCTTGGTCGGCGAGTTCAGCCGAGTGCACTTTGAGCAGCTGCACAGATCAGAGGTCACCTGGACAGGTAACGAGCTGCTAATCCGAGTATTAACGGAATTAACACCGCGGTTAAAAAGCTGCAGACTCTTCCTAAAGTGTGTGGCTGATTTGATGTCTTGTTTTCTCACTTCTGCCTCCAGTGGAAACTAAACTAAACTAATCAGCTGGTTGGAGTCATTGACAGGTGCTAGCACAGTTAGCTTCCTGCTAGCAAAGTTTATTGTGGGCGTTCACGCTCTGTTTCTTTTAAAGATTTGAGAAACTAAAAGTTGATTCTGAATATGTACAAAGTGTATAACAATTTATTTGACCTCTGTACACCGAAAAAGACACCTGACAGACAGGTGTGTGTTACATAATAATGGCAGTGAGCTACAATTAACTTTTTAAAAACTTTATTTAGGCATTAAACTAAGTTTAAATCGATTAGTTGACAACTATTACATTGTTCCCCTGCTGTTTTGATAATCAAGCAACCTGTTTAATAGGAAAAGTCTCAATTTTTAGATTTCAACTCCTTCAATGTGAATATTTTCTGTTCTTTTTGCACATTTCTGACATTTTATAGATAAAACTAATCAATTAATCCAGAAAACAGCAATTACTTGTAGCCACAGTCAAAAATTAAGACAGAAAAAAACAAGAACACTGTACAACACTGAAAAAAGGCCATAATAATTAACTGTAATACACATATTTGATTGAAGAAGCTGCAAGTGTCGGTTATTTCACCGTTAATTTATCTGGTAATTACTGTCTGGATTAATCAATTAGCTTTTTTGTCTCTAAACTGATAGAAAACAGTGAAAAGTGTTGATCAGTGTTTCCCAAAGCTCAAGATAGCATCCCTAAATGTCTGTTCCTTCTAGAAATCTCTAGATTTCTATGAAGCTTCTGCTGAAACACTGATTATTTATTCATCTGTCGGTGGATTGTCAGCAGATCTGCGCTGTGATTTCTTTGTATTGTGAAAAAACACAATCACAGACAGCTCTGAACTTCTTTGTACAGCAGCTGGATCCTAATTAATAATATTTTCATAAATCCCATGGAGAGAAGACCTCTGTAATGTTGTTATTAACCTCCTCTTTCTCTGTCTTGTTCAGCTGTGACGGTCCTCTGGGACGATGGCGAACCCGCTGAGGGCTGAAGTGGTTCGACTCTACAAGAATGTGAGTCTGTTGATGTTTAGTTAAGAATACATCAACCAAAGTCTGATGCTGTTGCTGCTTCAAAGCTCTCAGGTGTAATATTTCGTTTTTTTCATGCCCGTAAATGTCATATTTTGGGGTTTTGGATGTTGTTTGGACAAAATGAGACAGAACTCATCTCCAAATAAAGAACACCAAACTCTTTAGATGGAGGAACAAGTAACTATTATGAATTTCAGACGGATTAATCTGCTCTTCACCCAGTCTCATGTCAAGTCAACCAGGAGCTTCTGACTCAAATGTTTAGGAGAAAAGCACAAATACTGATATGAACAAGCTACTTTATGTTTAAGCTTCTCTCAGATTTCACTTAAAATTCCAGGATTTGTGTGATACCGGGCTTTAAAAGTGAAAGAAACACACTTTTGTGACAGATCTTAAGTGTTTCCTTTATGATTTAAACACCCACTTCTCAAAAGTTGAAGAGACATGCAGCTAGTATTTGTTTTCTTACCTAAGAATGAACTTTTGGATCTCTGTGTAGCCTCGTCAGTGGTTTAACGTGGAAGAAACTGGCCTGTAAAGAAGCTTCTGACTGAAAAAGTCAAATTCAATTAAAAAAAACCTCGATTTTTCTAGAATAAATAATTAAAATTCTAGTCTAATGGCTTAAATAAGCTGCTTATGAAAAGGTTCAGCATAAATACATTCCAATAGTCACAGTTCATGTAAAAACAACCCATTTACATGCAGAAATATGAACAACAAATGTGGAGGTTCAGGTGTAAAAGAAAGTTTTATTTCAAATGTATGTTACCAAAACAAAAATAAAAGAACTGCAGCATGATTGAACACTTTCTCACACGATTAGAATATCATCATTCAGTGAATTTGTAGTTTTCAGTGTAAACTTTTCCATCAGAATGTGAGCGGCTTGTCCTGACACTGACGCTCTGAGTACATAATAATACAGTAACACGGTATGAGCAGTGAAACAAAACAGAATTGGTGCTTTTAATCAAATGCAGAAGCTGCCAGATGACTACAACCCAGGTAAACAGAAAATATAAGATTATATCAGCTGTATTGCAGGATGTTGCTTCGTTAGCACGTTTTTTTTTTTTTCCAGGTATAAAACTAAACTTTCCTCTGACTGTAAAAAGCAACTCGTCTTGTATCCAAATCAGCCACAAATGAATCAAAATTAAACGTTGTGTATTCCTGCAGCTGGAAAGTAAGAAATAAATGAACCATCTGAAGCTGATCCTGCAGATGTGACACTTTTCATTCATTTATTCAGAAAAATAAATCCGTTTTTAGCTCATTAATACGCCTGGTTTTGTTCTGTGTGGGAGTTTCTTGTGTCCCACGTTTGATTTTTCTTTTAATATTTGAACGTTTTAATACTGGAGCTTCTTCACAGGCCAGTTTCTGCCGCATTCAACCAGCTGCACGGAGACAAAGTCGAATATTACTGGAATACTTTGAGCGATAGATGTTTAAAATTTATGTAGAAGTCACAGCTTTTTTTGTTTTCTCTCCATGTTTGAGTTCTGGAAATGTGCAAACATGAACAGAACCTTGTCGATCAGCTACCCAACTATCCCCATGAAAAAAATGACAAATATACTTTTTACGAAGCCTTTTTTGAAACTTGTTCTTGAATTAAAACTCAGTGGGTTTCCTCCATCATGTTGATTCCATCACAAATAAAATTTCACACATTTAAAAACACTGTGGCTTCGACCAGACCAGCTAATCAATCAGATGTTGGTTAGAAATCATCCTGAAAGGAGCACAAACACACAAACTAAGTGACCAATCAGAGCGCTGCAGGTAACATGCAGGTGTTCCTGTCCTCCACAGCTCCTCTACCTCGGACGGGAGTATCCCAAAGGCGCCGACTACTTCAGGGACCGTTTGAGGGCGGCGTTTACAAAGAACAAGTCGGTTCAAGACCCGGAGCAGATCAAAGCGATGATCGCTCGAGGGGAGTTCGTGGCCCGAGAGCTGGAGGCACTCTACTACCTGAGGAAATACCGAGCCATGAAGAAGCGCTACTACGAGGACTGAGACTCAGAGAGACAAAAACAAAAACAAAAACAAAAAACGCGAGAAAGGAAACCTGGTTATTTATTGTCAGTGTAACTCAGCGTCACCGAGCAGCAGACTGCGACTGCCGTCCTCCGAGAACAACAGCAGCTTCAGAGTGTTATTGTTCTATTCCTGAAGTCAGGTCGTCACCGAGGACAACATTTAAATAAAAGTATATATAAAAAAAAAATCCCTCCCAAAGACGACTCGATGAGTTTCATTCGTCCAGTGAGATTCAAGTAACTCTGTCGTGGCAGGAAGACAAAGCGGCGGATCAGAGGCTCCGTCAGAGGCTCCATCAGAGGTTCGGGGGGTCCAGAGACTGTCCGTCAGCCAGGTCAGCTCTGCAGATCGGACAGGTGGTGTTGTCCTGTCAGAGCAGGAGGCAGGAGCATGTAAATGACACGTAAACAGTCTGAAAAACAGCTAAAGCTTCCTGTTTGTCAGTGTCAGATTGGTTGAAGCTGGTTAGCTTAGCATAAAGATTAGAAACTGTTAGCTCATCTTAGCATAAAGACCCCTAGCTTAGTGCTAATAAAAGGCTGTGAACGCAGGGAAATAACTTTTTTAGTTTCGCATTAAGAATGGAAACAGGGCAAAACAACTGTTTTGGCCAAGCATAAAGAGGGAGCAGTTAGCTTAGCTTAGCATAAAGACTGCAAATATAGAGAAAACCTGGTTTAGTGCTAATAAAAGACTGAAAGCAGGTTAAAACAACTTATTTAGCTTAGTATGAGGACTGGAAACAGTTAGCTTAGCTTAGGATAAAGACGAGGAACAGGGAGACCCCTAACTTAGTGCTGAGGAAGGACTAGAAACAGGGCGAAGTGGTTTCTTTTAGCTTAGCATAAAGACTGGGAAGAGGGAAACCACTAGTTTAGTGCTACCGAAAGACTGTAAATGTGGTGAAACAACGTCTTTAGCTTAGCATAAAGACAGCTAGCCTTCTGGTGTCTGCAGGTCTTAATGGACTTAAAGTAAAAACCATAACGCATGAATTCAGTTTCCTTAAAAAGCCTTGAAACACATTTAAATCTTAAATTTAGTTTCTACAAGTCTTTTTCTTTGAATAAATCTGTTTTAATAATAAATTGATTCAATAATTATCAGGATAATCCATCAAATTTCTGCTGTTTATCAGGGTCCAGGTCGCATTAATAACACATGATAACTACTTTGTCTGAGCACGTTTTCCATCATATTTTCATACTTTAAACAGTATGATGGTGAAACTGGTGTTAAACTACAGTCTGTGAGGAATTAATAAGTCTTAAATATGACACGGTGAACTCCTGAGCCAGCCTCTGACAAAAGCATCAACATGTTGTATCTGGTTTGTTTCAGCGGCTTTTTTTCTGCCAACTTTAACCAAAACAGTTCAGCATTAAATCTTCTCAGGGACACAATCTAAGCACAGAAAATAAGCCTGAAACTGCCACTAAACCAGATGTAACATGAGTCAGGGAGCTCTAGTGAGCAGGTAAGTGTATGTTTATTATGTTAAGTTTTGTTTCAGCGAGCAGTGAATGTGAGCCGTTACCTTCAGCCACCGGTCGATACACGGGACGTGGTAGTCATGGAAACAGGGCAGCATCCTCAGCTTCTCCCCGTCGGTGTATTCACAGAAGCAGATCTGACACCTGCCGATCAGCACAAGTCTCAGATTAACACACACGAGATATTCGAAACGCAGCCTCAGATTTTGCTTCACCGGCACTTTAAACTGGGCCGACGGCTGCTGGACTCACTGCGAGTTCCCGGCGCTGCTGGCAGACTGGAACGTTTTCGTAGGAAACCTCTGGATTTCCCTCCGACTCAGCTTCTTGGACACGACGGCACCTTGACGCTCCTCGAACTCCAGGAGAGCCTGAAAGACGAGCAGCAGGGTCGGACGATCAACGAGGGTTTAAAAGGCTTGTTTTCTTTAAAAGACTTGCCAAAATTTATCAGAGAAAGAAACAGTCCTTGAATGCATCACGTGTGCTGTGCAACTCCATCAGGAAAATTCAACAAATCCAAGTTTGAAATTGTGATATTTCATCAGAATCAATCGATCTTACACGTCTTATTTTAAAAATGAAACTCGCACGACTGACTCAGCTGCAACGGCAAAGAGTTTTCAGGTGAACTGAAGGCTGTGTTATGAAAATAAGACCAACTGGATCAATAAAGTAAATGCAGCATGACTCGAAAACAGTGAAAGATTTGTTGGTAGATGCATCCAACATGGTGAAACGTGAATGAAACTACATCTGATGTGCAGAGTAGCATAAAGAGTGACAGAGTGTTTCTCACCTCGTAGTCGTTTCCCTGAACGTCGTCTGATAAGTCCGGCATGGCGTTCCTCCTCCTGCTGCTCCGCCCACGTCGCCTTTGTTGACCAATCAGATCTGTACAAGCACAGCAGCTGTTAAAGGTTGAACCTGGATGGAAACCACTCGACTTTGAATCTCCATTATTTCTCCTTAACGTTACACATTTATGACCAAATAAGCAACGATTTGGTTTATTTATTCTGCGTTTATCGGAGTGCTGATGGTCGTACCGTCTTCGAAGCCGACCAGAGGAGAGACAGCTGCCAGGACCTGAGACATCCACCTGGGGTCCATGTAGGAATAACACTGCAGAGAGATGAAGACGCTGCACTTTATCACAGGCATCACAGAGGATCAACATCTGTACAGCTGTGCACGTGCTGCTCCTGATGCAGTAACATATGGGGCTGTTGGTTCAGACACATCTGGAGACGTGGTGGAGATGAAGAGACTGGACAAACTGAGAAGAACTGGAGAATCCTGATCAACCTCTGCACCACCGACTCCAACAGAAGAAAATTTTATTTACAACTCTGTCTGAGAGAAAACTCAGGTTTAAAATGTTCTGTTTCATCAAATCTGCAGTGCACTCCGTGTATATTGAGTTCGTTTTCTGTTATTTTGTAATTAGCTGTGTGTACTTTTCTACCATCTTTCTTGAGTTTTTTTTTTATATTGTGAGCTTTAATATTTTTGTTTTATTTCTTACTTTTCTATTCAACTGCTGTAACATAAGAATTTCCCAATTTGAGATAAATAAAGTTTATCTATTGGCCCAGGAAGCAGTAACAACAAAAACACTAAGTCACTCTGTATTTCATTTTCGATTGTATGTCAACTCATGAATTTGACTTTACATCATATTTTTTGACTTTTACATCTCATATACTTGACCTATTGAATTAAAAATGTCACTTTTTAGGTTATAATTTTGATTTCAAGTCACATTTTGGACTTTGTCTCATACTTCTGACCTCGTAAGTTCTTTCCCAAAAAAAAGTTTACTCTTTATCTTGTCATTTTGACGTACTGTGGATATTTTGGTTGATCTACGTTCCACCTGTGGCCAAGAGCTGTGGGCAGTGACCAAAAGAAAAAGATTGCAGGTGCAAGAGGTGGAAATGAGAGATAAAGTCAGGAGTTTGGTGACTGGTGAGAAGCTCAGAGTCGAGTCGCTGCTCTTTCACAATGAAGAGTCAGAAGAGAAAAAGCAAACGACCGCCTCCGTTTGAACCTCAGCTGTAAATGTTAGGAGATGGATGGACGTGAATGTTTTTAAACCATCTACTTTAGCTGACTTCATGTGTTTTATTGTGAACGTCTTGACCGTCCGTCTCACCCTGTGGTGGCTCTGATGATGAAGGTGATGATGATGGGGCTCCCTGCTGTGCGGCTCGGACTCCTCTTGGTCAAACTGAGCCTGAAGGAACAAACAGAAACAGTGAGCGTCCGTCTCCTCTGCACAGGTGATGCGTTTGTGTCTGGAGGTTCGTACCTGCAGGCTTCGAGCCAGAGCCTCGTCTTCCTCCATCTGCAACAAGCGAACAGCTCCGTCCTCATCGTCGCTGATGACGATGTGCTCCGTCGCTGCTGGAGGAGAAACAGTCGATCACAAACCTTTAAGAATTTAGTTTGTCTCTTCAGTCCTCACGTTAAACTAAATATTGTTTTGGATTCATTATTTACGTCTGCAGAGTTTTCCATGTGACCCTGCTGAGTTGTGATGTGGCTCTTTTTTACAGCATCATTTTATGTTGAAGTTAAGGTGCTGAAGCTCAGAGCCTTTCCAAATACTTACCATCTGAACTGTCGATTAAAAATGAGATGCTCACAGACAAACATTAGCACCGCCGCCTCACCTGCTGAAGTGTCTACTTGCTCCCCGTTCAGCCACCTTCTCTCCTCTGCAGTCAGGAAGGACAGAGAATCAGAGCTGGATGCTTCTGCTGCTGCCGTCGCCGGAGACGTTGAAGGTTGGATTTGTTTCGGCCGGAGGACTGACACCGGTGTGAGGTAGGAGGATGAGGAGGCAGAAGAAGAGGAAGAGGAAGAGGAAGAAGAAGAAGAAGAGGAGGAGGAGGAACAGGCTGCAGATGACAGCGGAGCCTCCAGCCAGCTGCCCAGAGGAAAAGCCCTGAGAGACGACGCTGGAACGAAGTCCACGCTGTGCTCCGTCAGCTTCTTACGCTTGGATTTATGTGCAAAACTGCGCTCACTGCCGCTGGCGTGTTCTGGTCCTGGAGATCCTCCAGCCGCCACCTGAAGGACACAAAACACACAGTCAGTCCACAATGAAGAGCAGATTCCTGTGAGAGTAAGGTGACCCCAACATGCAGCAGCAGCAGAGACTCACTGGGCTGAAGTGTTCCTCCGTGATAAGACGACGTCTCCTCCGCTTGCCGAGCTGAGGGCTGAAGCAAACACACACAGTTTAGTACAAAACCACAACTACTGACACTGTGATTAGTCAAGTGTTCCCATCTGTGTCTAACAACACAAACAACAGACAGATCACAGCATTACTTCACATCAGACGCATACTTCCTCCTTAGCTACAGCGTTGCTTCACTTCCTTTTAACTCTCTGAACTCCAAAACCCAAAGAATGCTATCTTTATTATTTTTTAATCACCGGAGTGACACCATTTATCAGCTACAAACTATAAAAGTCATCAGATGTTTTACTCTCTGACGGTCTTTTAACTCATCAACTGTGAAAATCAACTAAGTCAGTGGTTAAAATGGAGATATTTGATCAAAATCACTTTATTCTACATGTCTCGTAAACTATTTTCCCAAAAATAAATAATTTCCTCCTAACAGATGCTGTAAAAAGCAAAAAAACACAAAACAAAACACAAAAACAAACAAAGGAACCCACTCCTTAGTGCACAATGACAAAGATTCTGATTTTCCAGGTGAACTGTCGGCAGCGTTTACACAGAGCAGAGGAGACGAGTATGGAAACTAATTAATTAAAAATGTAAGTAACAAAACATCTATAGTTTATAGAGCCACCATTTATCAGCCAGAAACTCTGGACATTTATCTGTGACCTTAAGGCCAAATCAACTAAATCTAAGCTTAAAAGTATTATTTTTCCATTAAAAACACTTCATTCTACATTCTGTTTTAAAGATTTACTAAAAATAAACTGTGTTCTCTCAGCAGTTTCTGTAAAAAACAACAAATTCTGATCTCCTCAGTTAACCAGTGAAGCCAAAGGTGACTCAGCGGTGACCAGCAGTGACGTAAGGAAAAAAAAAAGGGACTTTTGGGTGAACTGTAGGCTGCGTTTACATACAGCAGAGAGAAGACGAGTGTAGAAGGAAGTCAAAAATGTAAATAGCTGAATATTTTCAGCATTATTAACACCTGTAGACACTTGGAAAAGGTTCTCCATGTTGATTATTGGTTTTGAAAATATGTGTAAAGTAAATAAACAAAGAAATTTCACTTTCGTTTTTGTCTTTTGTTTGGTTGTTGGACTTCATATCGCAGTGAGAAATGAACCCACAGTGAGGAAAACTGTGACAAGAGCAAAAAACGGCAAAGTTCAGACGGTTAAAGTGGACAAAAAGAAATAAATCTTAGTCAATTGTTGACAAGTTGTGGTTCCAACTGATGGACAGTCGGTGACGTTGCTGAGAGCAGATCTTTATTCTGATAAAGGAAAATCCCCGACAGTCTTCCTACGTTCTATCTGAAAGTGAAATTGAATATTTGGCTAAGTGTTGCAACTATACAGTCCTACAATTTGATAATTCCAGAGATTTCAATCTGGGGTTTTTTTTTCGGTTTTGTGGATGTAAAATGATCATGTCTGCTCTAGAAGCTGGAATTTTGGCTGCAGCTAATGATTATTTTAATTGTCTTTGATCTGCTGTTATATAGAAGCATATAAACAGAATTAAAAACTCACTTCATCCTTTGTTGACAACATCACATCCTCAGCTCGACATAAAGGAGACTGCACAGCTTTGGAAAAAGGTCTTGTGGTGTTTATTGTCTGAATTGTTAATCAGTGTTGATCAAAGCCCAGAACTACATCTTTAAATGTCTTGTTTTGTCCACAGCCCAAAGATTTTCCATTTAGTTAAAATCAAGAAGCTTTTTTTTTTCCTACATTCTTTAAATCAAAAGAGCAATTAATTTAACAGCTGACGGCTAATGATTGTTTTCGTTGTGGCTTTAGCTGGAGCCATTTGACAGTTATGCACAAGCACAAAGTAAAATTAGAATTTGATTAAAAAAATAGTTGGCAAGTCATTTTCTGCCTAATGACTAATCGATCGATTGACTAAATGCTGCTGCTCAACATGTCAACAATGTGATAGTAGTCAGTAATATTAGTTTTACAGACAGAAAAATCAACATGTTTGGTTTTTTGCAAGAAAAAAAAAGTGAAATTAAATAAGTTATCATCATGTCTTACATCCTGACGAGACCATATACATCCAGATTATAAACTTTTATGTTAGTGAAGCAGAATTAAGTCAGAAAACAAGCTGTGGAATAAAATCTAGAACATATCAGTGTTGTTTCTGTATTGTCTGCATTCTTTCCATACACATATGTAGATATCCACATGTATGTGTGTGTCTGTAGCTCGTGTACACTCTGTATTTTCTATGTATTTTGCCTGAGAGGGTACCTGGGTGTTTCTGGGACGATGATGGACAGATCCCGGTAGAGGACGTCCTCGGGGTCGAGGAGGCAGCCCCGGTTCAGACCTCCAGGACTGTCCGGTTCAGACGAACACGGGCTGGCTGCTAGTCTCTCCTCCATGGCCTCGTCCAGCGCTGATGCACACCTACTGCTCCCAAAACCTACGATCACCTCCGGCTCATATCAAGCAGCTCCAGCGGGCAGCTCACCTGGAACACCGCGGAGCACCGTGACCCGGAGGACGGTAATTAGCTAACTGAGTCTGATCCACAACAAATCTCAGATTAGCTGTTTAGTTAACACGAAAACAGGTGGATTAGATTTAGAAGCAGATGTGAAAGTAAAACGAGAACAGCTCGCTTTCTAAACTAAAAGTGACTCATTCAAAAAAAAAATCCCCGAAAACAAACTGGTCGTTCGTTAGCTCCGTTAGCACACAGAGCAGCCCAAGTAGCTGCTAGCAGGCTAACACGGCGGCAGAAACACGGAAAATCAATGAAACTTGACTCATATCAGCAATAGTACGAATATAAAGGAGACATCGGGTGACTTTACCGGGATTCTGCGGTCGTTGGTTCGGTTCGGTTCGTTAACGGTCGGTGTGCCGCCGAAGACCCACAACAGGATGTGCTACTCACAAATGAGATCGGGCATTTCCGGTGTCGGCCCGGAAAGTACCGAAGGGTCCTCTGTTTGTTTAAAGGATGTTTAATTTCAGTTTTAGTTTTTCTATGAGACATTCCATTCAACAAATAAATGATACTGAAACAATTTAAACTGCTGCTTCATTCAGAGACATTCATAAAGTCGTTCTCTTTTTAATCAATTTCTTTCTCTTTCTTTCTTTCTCTCTAATATAGTTACATCACATCTGGTATATTGTCTGTCTGAGACCTTTATTGTTTTATCTTCATTTATTTATTTTTTAGCCCTATTGTACTTCTGTATTTTTTTTTTCGTGCGTCTTTCATGCCTTATCTGTATCCAGTTGGTGAAACATGTAAATTTCCACCAGTGAGGGATCAATAAAGTTCATCTTATCTTATCTTGTTTATTTAATAATTACAGCACTTTAAAACAGCCCGAGATGACCAAATTTTTCACATTTTGGATAAATTTTGTGTAAATGGGGACACTTTCTTTTTAATTTTGGACAAATTTTCAAATTATTGTTTGAAACCATGTTGTAATTCTGGACAACGTTTTAATCATTTTGGACGTTTCTTGTTACTCTGGGCAAAGATATAGGTAATTTTAAACAACTTACTGTCATTTTAAATGAATTCAGAGTTATTTTGAACAGAGGGTTAGGGTTAGAGTCCATTTGTACAATCTGAAAAAATTGGGACAAATATTGAATCATTCTGGACAATGTTTTGTTACTTTGGACAAATTTTGAATCATTCAGACGTTTTTTGTTTCTCTGGGCATGATCTTACTAAAGTAAATTTAAATTAAAATGTAATTTTAATTTTCTTTAGTAGGATGTTGAGTCATTTTTAATATTTGTAATCATATTGGACAACATTTTGTTTCTTGAACAATTGTGGACAAATATTAGGTCATCCTGGACAATTTCTGTTACTTTAGACACATTTTCGATAGTTTTAGACTTTTTTTTGTTTTTGTTTTTGTTTTTGTTTTGCTACTCTGGGCAAAATAGTGAGTCATTTTGGTTACTTCAGAGGAATTTTGTTTCATTTTGCCAAGTCTCCATTTCATTTAACTTTTAAGTAAATTTGGGCAATTCTCAAGTCATTGTTGACATTTTCTGTTACTCTGGACAAATTTGAGTCATTCTGGACAGATTTTGAGTAACTGAACAATTTTAGATTAATTCTGGGCAAATTTAACGTCAGTTTGGACAGTTTTCAACACCTTTTGCACATTTTGTGGAAGGGATACTAAAGCAACCAAAAAATATTGAAAACATGAACATATTGAGAGTTTTCTAAAAAAAAAAATATCAGTGGAAGATGAATATTTGATTGAAAGAGGAAGACTGTTTCAAGGCTTTGGAGCATGACTTCCCTCATCTGCCTGTTCTGGGGATCTCAGAGGCCTGGAGGGAGCAGAAATGTACACAGATGCAAGGCTTTATAAACTAACAAAATAACCTGTTTTGCATATTACAGATAGCCAGTGCAGGGATGCTGGTTCAGGTTTGATGCTGTAAATGTTTTTGGAACCAGTTAGGGATCTTACATCAGCTGTAGACGAGACAGTGAGGACTAGCCGATACCAGGTACAGTGAGCTGCAAGAATCTAAACTCAAGGATGCAGTGGTCACAGTCTTAATCGCATTCAACCAGAGGGTGGATTTCAGCTTGTTCCTCACATGAAGGAGTGCTCTTTGATCACAGAGATATTTTTTTTCAAATTTCAGTGCTGAATCAAAGATGACACCAAAATCCCTGCATGGGCATGTAGGTTTACTGTCAGTTGTCTTAAATGTCTGGTTCTGCTTGTTGAGGTGTTTTAGGGACCAAACAAAAATGAATATTGTCAATATCATTTGCAATAAGACTGTCTTAACTGAGCAATATCAGTTTCAGTGTCATATGCCATAACTAATAATAGTGTAGACGCTTAGCAGTAATATTTGCATAGCCAAATAAGTGCAATTTTATAAAATTTTGTGGGGTTTCATTTTCTAATAATTAGATTTCATTTTTAAATTACATGCTGCAGGGTTTGATTTATAATGACGATCTTCTTTTTCTGCTGGAATGCACTTATCACAATGACTGTTTTTAAAAAATGTGACACATAAATAACAATGACTTGGCTAATTGAAACATAGCTTAAATGAAAAAGAACCTTTGAACAAACACCGGCGTGTTAAGAACTGAATAAAATGTCAGAAACCAGATTTGGAAAAATGTTTTTAACTGATTTTGTCATATCGGCTATCTTTCCGTACTGTCTGTGGTTACGGTGCGTTCGAACAGCTCCAATCGGCTCTCGGTTGATAAGCCTGCGTGTGTGGCTAGCTAGCTGCTAGCTAGTTACGCAGTAGCAGTTTGGCGTCGGGCAGCTAGTAAACCATTGGACCAATGCCTTAGAAAACGTTTTCTCTTCGCCCCCCCTCTGATAATATGAATGTTGTCCATTGATTTCAGTGGACGACGTTCGCTAGAATGACCGCATAATACCGATGTTAGCGACACACGGTTTATTATTAGTCTGCGGCCACATTTTCCGTTTCTGGCCGAGCTAGCGAACCAGCTAGCATAGCTGCTGAAGATAGCCTGTTACCTATGATGGCACAGCCCGAGAGCCGCTCGATAAAGGAAGGTAGGCCACACTCTCTCCGCGGTTTAAATCATTATTTCTACAGCAGCATCGTTAAAATCACACATTAGTAACGTATTTGGGATTTTAAGTTGACGCCGCTGTTCTTTAAACCCCAGAAAACCGAGCGCTTCATTTAGCAGATCGTTGGCTTGTTAGCTGTATCCGGAATGAGCTAATGCAGCTCTGCTTCAGAACAGGTTAAAACGCCTGCTAGCGTTATAGAAATTAACTTTTTAATGGTTTGTTAAGGGTTCTTGTAAAGCTAGCGTGTTGTTGGGTGTTTCGTTAATCAATCCTCTCGGTGTAGCGCTGAATACAAGCAAGAAAGGCGTTTTGCTTGTTGGTCATTTGTACAATAGAGGAGGCTAACTGTCCTCTGCTTATTTTGGTTTGACTGGAATCTAAAACGGGTTTTACTCTCATTAGCAGTCATACCGATATTAATACTGTGTACGAATATGTTGGCACTAATACTGTTCAACTCATACCATCTACTCTTTCTGTATTTTAGTATGAAATGACGTTAGTCGTGGCTCTGTGGTTATTTCAGGTGCAGATGTTACATCTTCTTGTCTTACTGTCAGTATTAAATAGCAAAGTTATTCTTTGTCCAGAGGCTGATTTTTCTGATGATGCAATATGTAAGAGAAAGGTGCTTTGCTGCTCTTCTAGAAAACAAAAAAGATAATTGATTAACAGCTTTGCAATGATTAATTGATTAGTTGTCAACTACGACATTTATCGTCGACTATTTTGATGATGGATTTTATTGTTTTTTTTATTGAGAAAAGATTCCAGCTTCTTAAATGTGAAGATTGTCTGTTTTCTTTCATCCTCTATGACATTGAACTGAATATCTTTAGGTTGTGGACAAAACAATTGATCCTTTTGGGGGTTGGGAAACACTGATCAATGTTATTCACCATTTTCAGACTTTTTATTGATGAAATAACTAATAGTTAATCAATAAAATAACCATTAGGTGTAGCCGTAGTCTAAAATACACAATAAATGAGAATACTGAGGATGTTATCTTGGGCTTTAAAAGAACACAAAGCAAGATTTCTCAAGTCAAAAATAACTTTTTTTGTTCTGTTTCAATAACAGAAGAGACCAGGTAGTGCCGCAAAATGAGATCTGATACGACAGGGGGAAAAAAAACAGCCTTAAATGTACAAAACAGCCACAAATGGAAGCTAAATAACTACAAATTGCACAAAATGACCACGAAGGTTCAAAGTATCTCGAGGTGCAAAACAACTACAAAGAGACACACATCAGACACAAATGATGAAGTGGCTACAAAGATTCAAAACAAGATGCAAAAAACTGAAAAGTAATGTAACATGAAATGCAAATTATTCTTATCTGCTAATGAGAGTTTACTAATATCTACTCGTGCGTTCGTTGCAGTGCTGTGATTATTTCAGGTGCAGATTTTGTGCAACACAGCGGACATTTCTGACATCTCTTGGCTTCACTTCTGAGCTGTCATGGTGTCCAACTTTAAATAGACAGTACGATGTCTATGACGACAAGAAAGACTCTTTGTGTCAGAAACTGGACGTTGAAGGGAACGATTGAGTTTCAGGACTACAAGAAACGATTGTTTTCATGACCAATTAATCTTCTGAGTTGTTTTTGTTCTTGTTGTCTAAGAAATGTCGTCAAATTGCAAAATCACAATCTCTCAGAGCTAAATGTGATGACTTCAAATGTCTTTTTTCACCCAGATGCCCCAAAATTGTTAGCTTACAATGATGTCTGACTAAGAAAAATGGGAAATCTTGTTGTCTAAGAGGCTGGAGTTTGTCTTTTGTAACCGTTTTTGCTTCAGAAGTGACTGAAACAATCGGTTATTGAAATCATTGCTGTTTTTTTTTGCCTTCAGTGATCATTCCAGCTCCAACCAGTAGTTCTATAAAATGTCAGAAAGTGATTTAAAAAAGGTGCCTACTTTAATTTCCTAAAGCCAGATTTTATGTCCTCAAATGGTTGCCTTTGTGCAGCCAGCGGTCTGCCACCTTGTGACACTCGGTTTGCTTCCATAAAACACAGAGAGAAGCAGTGAATCCTCACAGTTGAGACGCTAGAACTGGAGAAGTGATTTATCTCATCTAAAAAAACTACAGGCTATTTTTTGACCAAAAGGATAACTGTTTGAGATTTAATAGATGTTTGTGCCTTGGACAAACAGTGTCTTCCTCAGGCAGGATGTAAAGTCGAGCTGCAACAATTATTTGGTCAATCTATTTTTGAGGTGTTTTCTGTTATATGTGAGAAAAGGATTTTTGTTTTCAGACTTGTGAAGCTGCCACTTTGATTCTGGGCGATGAGGATTGATCATTTTAGCTATTAGATGGCTGTATCTGTTGTCTGACAGTTGTTCAGTTACACAAATCTAATAATCAACTCATTATCAAGTGTGGTAAAAAAAACAAAAACCATGAAGTCTGACATTTGAGAAACTGGAGCGAGGAAATATTTGACTGAATGAAACAATTATTTGTTTATCTAAATAATTTGTGATTAATTTTCAAATTTGCTAATTAAATAATTGACTAATTGTTGCAACTCTGCAGTTGTACAACTTGATAATTCAAGAGCTTTCATATTTTTTTCTGTTTTATGGATAGTAAAATGATCATATTTGGCTTTTGGACTGTTGGTCTGCCCCTATTTAATTCTTGTGCAACACAAAAGATGTCGGCACCCGTTTATGGGATTTTAGAAGCTGGAATTTTGGCTGCAGCTAATGATTATTTTAATTGTCTTTTTAATCTGCAGTTTATTGTCTGTATTGTTGATCAGTGTTTCTCAAAGCTCAGAATTACATCCCTAAATGTCTTGTTTTGTCCACAGCCCAAAGATTTTCCATTTAATTCAAGAAGCTTTTTTTTTCAGACATTTTTTAGTCAAAATAGCAATTAATTTGGTGGCTGACGACTAATAACTGTTTTCGTTGCGGCTGTAGCTGGAGCCATTTGACATTTATGTGCAAGCAAAGAGTAAAATTTTAATTTGATGAGCAAAATATTTGTCGAGTCATTTTCTGTCTATCAGCTAATCGATAAATTGACTAAATGCTGCTGCTTGTTAGTTTTACAGACAGTGAAGTCAACATGTTTGGTGATTTGCATGAAAAACGACTTGAATATCTAAAAAATTGGTTATTTTTTTACTAATTAATTAAAAAATAGATTCTGTTCTAGTTGACTTAAATGATTCAGACCAAGAATGTCCTCTTCAGATATTATGCAAAGTAGAGCTGCAGCAGTTAATTAATCAGTTAAGATGAAATGAAACCACAGATTTTCAGCGGGTTTCTGTTGTATGTGGCAGTAAAGTGAAAGTCGTCTGACGTCTGGAAATTATTCTGACAAACTGTGATGGATAATTTTAGCTATTGTTTGAGATCTTACAGAAATTACTCAGTTAATTAAAAGCTAATAATCAGGTTACTATCAAGTTTGGCAAAGATATGAAAAGCTGGAAACAGGAAATATTTGACTTTTTTGCTTAGAAATGGTAAATAAAAGGATTATTTAATTATAGAAATAATTGTGTGTGTCCACTAATTGACTATTTTTAACTCTACAGGTCAACAGTTTCATAATTCAAAAGATTTTCAGCTTCTTTTTTTGTTTGTTTTGCTGATAGTAAAATTAATATGTTTGGTGTAAATTGGTGGTCTAAAGATGCCTCTTAGGGCTCTGCAATATTATCATGGATAATTTTAGCTTTTTTTCTGAGCTCTCGCTGCAGTTATTCAGTTAATGAAAGCCAGTAATCATCAGATTAATAGACGTGGGAGTCACTGGCAGCTGCAAACTGCTGTTGAATTCTCGTTAAGGCGCCAGTGTTTTTGCCCCGCAGTGTATTTATCCCTGTGAAAAGTTGATTGAACTCCACATTCACTCTGTTCCAAAATATTCCAAACATTCACAGTGGGAAGCGAGCGGAGCTGTGAGCAGGTGGGATCAAGGGCAGCCTGATGAAAGCTGCCGAGACGCTGCACCTTGTTAGCCGGTGCTCAGCCTCGATTTGTTCCCCGCCAGTCTGCACATCCAAACCCGTGTTTTTCAGCTTCTTCTCTAACCTTTAGACCGCTGCTGTCGCCGTGATGTTGAAATTAAATGACTTGGCAAACTCTAAAAGCGGTGCGAGTTGTGCTGTGTCATGGAGGTGCAGTGTAATTTAACGTGCTCTCTGTGGGCCTTTCTGCCTCCAGCTGATCTCAGCTGAAGCTCGCTACATGTGGTTTTAAATAGAAACTCGGAGTCAAACTCAAGATTCAGCTCAGGTTTGAGTGTTGGTAGCAACTGCCTCACATGCGGGGTTTGCAGGGTAGTTTCTGCAGAGGATGTTGAAGCTACAGGGGTTGAAAATGAACCAACATTGACTTTTAATAATCGCTGTTTATGTTTATGTTAAATTTTCTGGGTCTGTCTTTTCAGTAAAATTAATATTTTGGTTTGATACTACAGGGCATTTGATGTAGTTCTGGGGTGATATAATGGGCATCTTTAGCTTTTTTCAGATTTGTACATCAAGAAATCAATCACCAGATTAATCCAGGACAGAAACGGTAAAATAACTGCAAAACAAATGAACATTTAATTGTTCAGCTATAAAGCAAAATACATAAATTATCAAAATTAGATTGCAGCAACTATTATTTTTTATATTCAGTTAAATTTCAACGATTATTTGATTAGCTGTCAACTATGAAATTAATCGGTTTGAGTAAGTTTTTAAAAAGAAAAAGTCTAAATTCTCACATAACAGCTTTTTAAATGTGAATATCTTCTGGTTTCTTTTCTTGTGATGTGCACAAGAGACATTTGGAAAAAAACACAACTGATTCATAGAGTTGCAACGATTAATTGATTATTTATCTACTCATAAATGAATCGCCAGCTATTTTGACAACTGATTCGACTAATTCGACTTCTTAAACGTGAATGTTTTCTGGTTTGTTTCCTCTTCTCTGACAGTAAACTGAATTTCTTTGTGTTCTGGACAAAATGTGACACTTGATGAAATCATCTTTGGGTTTGAGAAACACGAATCAACATTTTTTAAGTTAAATTTAGTCTTATTTAAATTTTCTTTGGTTAGAATAACAGGAAAGACCAGAGAGTAGCGCAACATGAGATATAACAAGACAGGAAAGAACAAGAACCACAGTGAAGCAAAACAGCTGTAAAGGGAAGGAAAAGGACCACAAAGACGCACGCCATGATGACGGACATTCAGATAGAGATGCAAAACAACTACAAGGACATGAAAACAAGATGCAAAATGGCCATAAAGTGGCACAAAATGAAGAAAACAGCCGCACGTGATGAAGAGACTCCAGAGATGTAAAATAAAATGCAAAAGAAATTTACAAAAACATGTAAAATGACTAGAAAGGGATTCAAAATGAGATCGAATATGACAGGAAAGAAAAACAAGTGACGCAAAACAACTACAAAAACAACTACAAAGTGAAGCTAAATGACCACAAAGACACTAAAGCTACAATGGTTTATCGATCAGTTGTCAATTATTATATTAGTAGCCAACTTTTTTTAATATTTGAATATATTTTTTTTTTCAAGAAGCATAATCTAAATTCTCAGATTTCAGCTTTTAAACCATGAATATTTTCTGGTTTTGTACCTTCTCTTTAAAGGTAAACTGAACATCTTTTGATTGTGGACAAAACAAGACATTTGTCATCTTTGGTTTTGAGAAGTTTTTATTGTTAAACCCGATAACAAATTGATTAATCCAGAAAATGTTAAAATAACCCATGGTTGCAGCCCTCGTCTCAATAAATCTAACAAAAAAAATCTATTTATTAATCATTAGGTCTTTCCAACATGAAGTCAGCATTTATACAATACGAAGCTGGAGCCGCTGAATGTTTGGCACTGATCTAAATGATTCATCGATTATAAAATCACTTTCTGATTGAGTTTGCCGTTTGTGGGGTTCCAGATCTGATGTTCTGGGATTTCTGGCAGCCGCTCTGAGAACATTATCCAGCTCTGCGAGGAGAAGCTGTAAACAGCCCAAACCTGCCTGGGCGGCCGCGAAAAGTCAGCTGTTGGTGCAGGTTTGAAAGCAGCACTGAGTGTAATTACTGCTGTGTGTGCAGTGGCTCACGGGATGTTTTCAACACCTGCAGCTGGTTAACGCCGTCACGTGATTGGCTCGTTTCTGTTTTCGTTGTTTCCATCATTAACTCCACTAACAACTGTGTGCAGTCCAAACATTTTGGGTCTCTTTAATCCGTGTGGTTTTTCAGGGTTGTGGAAGTTTTTTGGCGCCCACCAAAGATGTTTTAGCCAACGCTGAATTTATAAGAACTGAGAGTAAGCCAGTTTTCTTAACAGGGGTGTCATTTAATTAAACCGTGTAGACATTTTTGTTGATTAAATGGTAAAAAATTTCAGCCAAATACAGGAACACAGACTCATTGTCTTTACTGTTCATGGACCAATCACAGCAAAGTGCAATTCTGATCTGAGCCGGAATAAACGCTGAGCTTTAGGTTGTTTGATGCAAGTTTTCAGTGCTTGTCAGTCTCAACAGGGGTCCTATGTGCACTGTGAAACCAGTCCACTGACAGAAAACAGCCAGTGTCCCAAGTTAAGGACCAAATTCTCCCCATGTGTTGATGCCCAACTAAAAACCAGTTGTGGTGTAGTACAGAAAATTCAACAGTTGATTTCACACTTTCTAAACTACCCCAAGAATCTTTTTTTTTTTCCCTCCATTTTGTAAGTTTGTAGAAGTATGTCGGACAACATACATGTTCTGCAACCTTCTTTATTACCTTTGGCAGAACAGGGAGGTTGCTTTTCCCATTAATGTGGATATTTGCTCATTGTAACAGATAATTAATGAGATCACTTAGAGTTCTTACCAATATAAAAGTGTATTTATTATTATTTTTTAATTACACAAGTATCCAAATTATACAATCTGACCAGGATTGGGACCAATCTCAGCCCTACCTTTTGTTTAATTACACTGTCACACAGGTGTCAGATAGCAACAGTGCAAAAAGGGCATGAAGCGTCACAGAAGTCTCTGTCATGGTGCCGGTTGATAACTATGAAGTGCCTGTAGTTTGAGTGACCATCTATAATACATTTTCTGACATGCATGTTGAGAATATCGGGTTGTTACTGTCTTTTGGAGCTTGTGGAGTACACGCTACTCTTTTCACACTACGTTTCAGACCGTTTCCTCCCGGAGCTTTACAACAAGGTTCATGACCACCTACGTAACATTAAGGAAGCTTGGGTGCTGACATTCTTTCTTAATGCATTGCAAAACTGCTTGTCAAGGAATTATGTTGGATTCATTTTATTATCTATAATGTACTTTAAGTGAATGTTATATAGGAAAATGGCGTTGGATTGGGACTCAGTATTGGCACTAAATACGACATACTTCGTATCGAGAGCTAAAAAACTTGATCGAGGCATCTTTCGATTTTTACTGTGAATTAAACTGTTGCTTCATGTGGCTGATCAGCATTCAGTTTTCTCTAATGGAGGTCACAGGAGTTGGATTTCCAGAAACACCGGCGTGCAGCGCTGCACTGATCACACTGTGAAGCTGTTATTTCCTTCATATTTAATTCTTGCGGCTTGTTTCTTGCTCTACGGTGTGTGGTGGCTCTTTCTCTAACGTCTCTGCATGTCTGAACAACGCAGTGAGATACGTTTCTACATCCAAAGTGCCACTTTAGGGTTTTGAGGCGGCATTGTTCCAGTTGTGAAGTCGAGGTCTCTCAGAAGAATGATTGATGACTGTTTTAAATATTTTTATAATTAATTTCTTGGCTTCAGTTTAAGCTCTGAACAGACATGACGCAAGTTGTGCTCCTTCACACCTCTTTGTCCTCCCTCAGTGATTTCACCACATATTACAGCATGTGTCATTAACTACATTTCTTTCTTTCTAACTGTATCTATTTTTGGCGAAGTTTGTGTTGTGGGCTCATGGAGCAGATTGGCCTGACACTGCGGCCAACTTCCTCTCGTGTGCAGTCACACTGAACAACTGCTGTGCTGTCTCTCAGCCTAGACTCTGCATGGCGACGGACTGGCAGCAGTGGGAGTGAGCAGCCAATCAGCCGAGGCCACTTCTAGCAACATGGCGTCCCGTCAGAGGAACTCGGTCCGGATCCTGTCCAGCCGGGAGCGAGGCTCCCAGACGTTCGGCTCGCAGCGACTCCTGCAGCTGCTGGTGGAGGAGAAAGTCCGCTGGATGAAATGGCAGAGTCAGGTACGTCTGCAACCGGGAAGATCTGCAGGATTCAGAAAGTCTTACAGGTTTTAATTTCACCTGTATTTAATCAGTTAAGTCCAACTGAGGCTAGCAAACTTTTTTTCAAGGAAGGCCTGGAAACAGAACAGCATCTAAAGAGAAGCAGTTTCGCTTTAAGAGCAACTTGCAGAAGGAAGGAGAAACTACATTTTAGAAAAAACTCAATCTGTACATGCACCACAGTAACATTTTGGCATTTTTGTAACTGAGCATCAAAAACACAGCTTGATCGTGACGTCACAAAAGTCTAAACAACCAAGAAAGTTTCAGTTTGAGATTGAGACATGTGGATCCAAACAGTAGTTTGCCACTAAAGAGGTTCAACATGGATATCTGTACACAAACGACGACCACGAGTTTGTTGTTGTGGTCCTTATCAGCACTGACTGCTCAAATGATGATTTACAAAAAGTAGCAAGTGCTAAAATGAGCTAAAAACAAACATACAGTTAAGAGAATAATCTACCGTGGAGTTTACAGTCCTGTTGAATTCAGTTTAGGATGCTAAGCTGTGTAATTTCCTTCTGCAAACAATATCAAGTGTCTGCAGCAGCAATCCAAATACAAAAATATGTCCAGTGACCTGCGATTATGATTTTAGGATGACTTCTACAAATATATATATACATGGGTCAAGTGAAACATAGCGAGAGGTGGCTAGCTAAGGCAAAAAAAAAGATTTCAATGTTGAATCTTAAATGACTTTTCTAATCGGTTGTTATTGGCTTCATGTGATTTTAAACTCCCTGGAAGATCCCCAGGGCTGTTTTTCAAACCTCTGACCTGATGTGAAATGGACTTCAAATTAATTAGATTTTAACTAGTTTATGTTTTCTTTCATTTTCTGCTGCTTATCCACGTCTTGTTTATTGATTAGTTGACAGGGTCCCGGCTCCGGATGGACCTCTGGCGCAGTGAGAAATCGAAATAGAAAGCCTTAATTGTCATTATTTTGTGCAAAAAATACAAGCAAATTAGGAGCGTGACTCCTGAACGGTGAATTAAGGCACGCACACAAAAAGCAACCTTAAAAACACAAAAAAATAAGTCTGACTGTTACAGAAATCTCTGCATATTTCTGTTATTTCTGACCGTTTGATCTACAAAAAATGTCTAGTAAATAAAAATCCAATCTGGAAAACTGGTCACAAAGTAAGATTACTACTTTTGTTCTCAATTATTATCATTTTGATGATTTTCCTTTGGTGCTGGCTGAAACCTTATCGGTGACACCAATAATTCCTACATGCAGAAAAACTCTGGGTTAATCAAATTATTGGGAGCAACTGGTATTAGCTCAGACAATTCTTTTTGTTATTGATCATTAGCTTGACTACTTTCTTGAAATGCAGATTACAACTTGGCTTATGTCACAAATGTCTGTTCAGGCTTGTTTATTATCTCGCCAGCTAAAGATAAACTTTATTGATCCCTCACTGGGGAAATTCACACATTACAGCAGCCTGATAAGGATGAAGTGTGATAACAGACCAATCAAAAACCCAATAAAGATAAAACCACTAAAGATAATACAGGTTGTTTACATTGTGCGCGACTTTCACACGTTACAGATATAACTACAGTGTGACTGTGGTGTGTAGAACCCAAGTCGGACTCTTAACCAACTCCGTCCTCCTTGTCGAGTCTGTCCTCGCGGCACCAACACTGCTCTTATTGTGTTCGCATCCCTGAAGTCTGGGTCAGACTCTATTCAAATGCTGCCCACTGAGGCCTTTTCAGAATAAACGTCCAGCCTCTGTGTCGTCTCGGGAAGAAGCTGCCGGGCAGAAATAAGACAAACACATCAGCTGCAACCCAGTTCTGTCTGTCTGACATTTATTTTCATGCACTTTATAGTGGGGTTTATTTATTTACTTTTTTGCTAAAACATTAATTAATGTCATGTGTTGAATCCAGTGAACTGAGCCTAAATCTGTTGGTTTGTGTCTCCTACAGAAAGTGGAGCTGCCGGACAGCCCTCGCTCAACGTTCCTGCTGGCGTTCAGCCCCGACAGGTGAGAAATCCACCCACACTCAGGTCCTGTCCACATACCAGTCTTTGACTTTCAGCCTGTCAACCCTGCAGCCTGGTATAACGGGATCCGGTATATGGCGACTTTCTGTTACATTCATTTTGATTGTCTGTCAGTGGGAATCCCCGTATGAGAACAAGCGATTCAGTCATGAAATGAATAATAATAACAATAATAATTGTTGCAAAACTACGCTGCAAATTGGGCCGATACATTGTTTGCGAGGGTACATAACGGGAAAATATTTCACAACAACCGCCGATAAAGTTTCACGACCTTTGTCTTCGCTGCTAACGCTGCTATTCGCTCGCGTATTTGCCGCTACCCGTTAGCAGCATTCGCTAAGACTCCCCGGGTCGATGATGATCACGACAACAGCTTATTCGTCTTATTACTATTGTTGTTTTCGGTCTAGAACAGGTGCTCAGTACATTTCACTTTCATGCTGTGTCTAATTGTGTTTGTGACAAATAAAGGTCTTGAATCTTGAATCAGCAAAACGCAAAGGTGGCAATTTGGGATATAGCCCATGTTATGCATCATGTTTGTGATAGGGTTTAAACTTCTGTGTGTGGTGGTCACACATCTGATGGTATCTGGTGGTCATGCTCCATCAAATGTTTTAAATCTCCTACAGAGTGAATATTAAAACTGGAGCTCGACTTGAGCAACATAGATCTAATGTCAGTCGCATTATGTTTCCCCTAAATCATGGTTTGTCATTTAAGCCGCAGCTTGTTCTGCTTGTTGCAACATTTTGTCTTCACAAAACAGAAAACTGAGCTTTTTAAAAACTCCTTGGAGCTTTAGTTAAAAGCAACTGGGTTTCTGTTTTTAGATTTTGAAAATGTTTCACCTCCATCCAAGAGGCTTGTTCAGTTCTGAGCTGAGGAGGTGACAGGTGAGACATCTTCAGGGGAAGTCGAGTTTCTTTTTACCAAAGCTCATAGGATTACCATTGGCCTACATGTCTGAGCATCTACACGGACATGTTGGAAAACTCTACACTGTTACACGGTTTTGTTTCATATGAGGGGATCTGGTGCAATGTTGGCCAAAGTAGTGCCAGTTCTCACCCTGCTAACAGGTTTACACGTTTACTCATACATGTACCGTTACTCATCCACTCCAATGAGGAACAGAAGCATGAGAATCAGTCCACGTATGAGTCCTCTCCTTCCTCCTTGCTCAGTTTGTAACCTACTAGACCCCGTCTAAGCTTGTTTTCAGGCTTCTAAAACTGACCAACCTGGCTTTAGGTGAGGCTTTTATCACCGCCTGTTGGTTTGGCTCTTGATAGTGCTTCAGTTTTTTTGCATTATTATGAGGAGATTTATTTTGAGAGCAAAAGAGGAAAAGCCCTGTTTAAAAAATAAATAAATAAAACAAATTGCTGTGTATGTGCAAACTAAGGCCTGGAAAGAAGAGAATGTTTAGCTGAAGGCCACAGATGGTATATAGAGATGGATCCATGTCAGCTCTCCGGGAGCGAAGGGAGCTGCCAACCGGAGTCGAACACAGAACCACTCTGGGGAAAAGTAATGAAATGTAGCTCCTAGTAGAGCCGCACGGTTATTTAAATTATTGAGATCATTATTGTTAATCACCATTGTCCACTGATTTTTGGGACGAAATATTTTTATTGTACTTTTATATTAAATAAATGAAGCACTGCTTTCATTTCCAAATTGTTTCAGCTCCATTCCTGCTGATATACGAACCTTACATGAAATTAAGACTAACAGTCGTCTTCACCTAAATTCAGAGCATGTCATAGAGGTTAAATATAAATGAAATTGTACCCCAAACTCCTCACAAGTTAAACATCTGCTTAAAGATGGACACTACAATGACCTATCAGAGGAAATAAGGCTGCAGAAAAAGTATTTTTGTTTAAATAACTTCTTAAACCCCATTTTTATAGACTTCTACTTGTGTGATGTTGTCTCTTTTACTTTCTTTTGCTCTGTGCTATGGCATTTTTGGTGGTTTTGTTATATTATTGGTATCAAATTGTGTTTATTTCATTTATTTATATATATATTGAAATACTGTTTTGTGTCTTTTATCCTGTTTAACTCCAGTTTGTCAGTTTCTGCTTCTCAGGTCTTTTTTTTTTCTTTTCTGTTTGGCCTGACAGACTTTCCCCTTGCCCCTTCTATCAATGCATTCTGTAAAATAGGTCTTAAAAAGATGATATATAAATACAGTTATTGTTGTTATTGTTATGAATATTACTACAATTTACCGATATTCCCTGAACACCTCGCATAAATCTGTAGATGCTGCTCGTTGGTTTTGCATGGAGAAGCTTCTAGTCTCCACCTCAGTGCAGCAGCTCAGACAGCTGTGAGACCAAAAAAATGTTTAAATACAGTTAAATAAGGCGTTCTAATGTCGGATTTACCTAAACTGAAGCATTTTAAACATCAATATTGCAGTCGATTATGTTCATTTAATAGTGGAAAGCCAAAATTGTAGCCAATATTCAATTCATTTAGCAGCCTTATTAGCTAAACAGCTAATGTGCAGGAAAAAAAGCCCACAAAACAACATGGTGGCACCCATTTCTATCGTATTATGGCGTCACTTTTGTGCAAACTGCTAATGTTGGGCATCTTTGAACACAGTCGGTGATCCAGACAGAAAAACTAAAAGCTCCTCATGCAGGCCGAGTGTTTACACAGAGCCGGAAGAAAACCACATCTGTTGTTATTTATAACAAGTTATTTATAGCATCAGGTCTGTTTACTGCCACCGCTTCCTTGTTTTGGAGAGAGAACCTGATTTGTTTCTTTATCAGCCCCAAGCAGCATCCAAACTCAGTAAGTCTCCGTCAGCACCGCGCTGGAGGGAGTGACAGCGATGTTTTTGTCCATCTGTTCATCCTTTTTATGAAACAAGTGGGGCATTTAGTTTCACAGAGTCTGGACCTGAAATCTGAGTTTTGGAATTATCCCCAAAGCTCCCTATAAAAAAAAAAAAAAGCAACACAAGTTTTTTATAGCCACAAGAAAAAAAAAAAAGCTATGAGAAGATGCTCCATTATCACCAGTTTGCTTGGTAGATAATGGGACTTTTAGAGAATCCCCTGGACTTTAATCAACATTTCTTTTATTTATAGTGCTTTCTTTATCGCCAACCCCATCTGTTCCTCGTCCATACGTGTACACACTAAAGACAAAAGGAATAAGCAATAAATTATCATGTTATTTTCAACACTCTCTGTATGGTTGTTGATTAGCCGTAATGTGAACTCTTTTTGCCTCCCGTAGGACCCTCATGGCTTCCACACACGTCAACCACAACATTTACATAACGGAGGTGAAGACTGGAAAGTGCCTACATTCCCTAGTGGGCCACCGTAGAACCCCCTGGTGTGTGACCTTTCACCCCACTATCCCCGGCCTGGTGGCCTCCGGGTGCCTTGATGGCGAAGTCCGCATCTGGGACCTGCATGTGAGTACCGCTACCTCCAGATAACATTAGTGAAACGTCAGAAAATATGAATAATGATGCCTGACAGAGAGTAATAAAATGTTTTTAAAAATATGAATGCATGTCTGAAAAATCTGAATAAAATATCTGAAAAAAATATTGATAAATGTCAGAGAAATATGAATAAATATTTGAAAAATATTTATGTAATGTGTAAAAAATATTCATAGAAATATCTGACAAATATAATAATAAAATGTTTGGGTAAAAGCTATAACATTTATGAAAAATATGGCTAAAATTTAAGAAAATACAAATACAGTGTCTGGAAAAAAATTAAGTAAAATGATAAAATAAATAAATAAAATATCTGAAAAATACGAGTCAGGAACATATTCATGAAATGTCTGGCAATTAACAATAAAATTTTTTGAAAAACATTGTTGAAATACCTGAAAAATATTAAGAAAATATGAGGAAAAAAAATACAATGTCTGGAAAAAATGAATTAAAAATATAAATAAAATATCTGAACACCACCAATAATAATGTTCATATAATGTCGAAAAAACATTCAAAGAATGTTTGAAATATAAAATATTCAAAAAAAATATTCATGAAATGTCTCACAAATACTAAATATCAGTAAAATTTCTGAAAAATCGAAATAAAATATCGACAAATATCTGACAAATGATCAAATCTTGATTAAAATCTCTAAACAACGTAACCACTTGATCCAGACAACAAAGGTTCTGATTCACAGCTCTGAGCTTAATGAGATTCAGATATTGATCTGCTGAATGAATCGCTGCAGTGAGTCTTTGTTGCATTAAACGGTGCTGCAATGAGCTGCTCGTTTCTCCAGAGTCTTTACTTCATTTAACTACAGAAACTAAGCTCACTGGTAGACGTTACAGAGTGATGCATCTTAACTCTCAAACAATCTTTGGCCAAGAGAAACTAAAAATCTGTTTTTAAAGAGTTTCACTGGCTTTTTTCAACGTAGAGTAATTAATTATGATTGGTTTGACGTTAAAGAGTGTTGTGTGTTTTTTCTGCAGGGTGGTAGTGAGAGTTGGTTCACGGAGAGCAACGTTGCCATTGCCTCCCTGGCCTTCCACCCGACTGCTCAGCTCCTCCTCATCGCCACCAACAACGAGCTCCACTTCTGGGACTGGAGCCGACCGGAGCCCTTCGCCGTGGTCAAGACGGGCAGCGACACGGAGAGAGTCCGGTGGGTCCAACTGAGCTGCTCTGACCGGGTTTCCCACCGCGGGAGCTTTGAAGAGTCGCCTAGTGACGTTTAGAGAGATGTTCATGACTCTGCACTGTGTTTTGTTTTTATCGTTGGGTCCGATTTTACCCATTTTGACATCTGACAGCAGTAAAAACACCCTAAACATCTTTTAGCCTCAAATGTGATGACTTTTCCTAAAGTGAACCAAAATACACAAAAAAATTGTATTTTAAATGTTGTACTTTTGTACAGATGCTTCAAATTTTTGTACATTGAGGCTGTTTGGGGTCAAATTTGACCACTGAGATGGGTTTTAGATCTACCAATGTGGGTCAAATCAAGGAAGATGGTGGTTTTAGGGAATCTAGAAACTGTGAAACTGTATAGGCCATGTTTTTATTGATGTTTATTAATGTGACATAGGCTATTTAGACATTCTATATAGATCTGTAGTTTAAAATGTGGTACAGACGCTTGTATGAGGGAATTCTTCATAACATATGAGCACTATGTAAAGGTTAAAGACATCACTGTTGCTTTCTTAAGATACAGTCCAGTCTTCTTCTATTTTGACGCAGCCTTTGTAGCGACATAAACACTTGTTTTAATTAACAGAACCTTGATTTTTCCTTGCTTTCTTCACAGGTTGGTGAGGTTTGACCCTCTGGGCCACAACCTGCTCACAGCGATCGTGAATCCGTCCAATCAGCAGGTGAGATCTTTTTATGTGTTTTTTTTCGCGGTGAAGTTGTTTGGATCGTTTCAAAGTTTGTCCTGCTGCAGCTTAATCAGATGCTGGTGCGTCAGTGATTCTCATGGCAGCAGGCACATTTTGTCCATCCTGTTCTCGTAAAGGCGAGATCTCCTGAACGCCTGCAGGGAATTTCTTTAAATTTGGCACAACTGTTCACTTGTATTCAATAATGAGCAGTTTAGATTTTGGTTGTAAAAACATCACTGCGACCTCATAAAACAAGCCACAACTCAAGAATTCTAATTTTGACCAAATTGAACAGAAAAGTCAGTATGAAACGATAAAGTGATGACATTTTATAGAGTAGAAGAACGAGCTGAACAGCAGTGTTGTTGTACGCTCACCTTTAAAAACTCGCAGCTGCAAACAAGTTCTTTTTGCTGGTAGTTTCTGCCCAACAAAAATTAGGATAAAGGTTAAAAATATTGGATCACAGATGAAATGACTTTTTTGAAAAATATGACATTAAGATGGACCACTTTTAAAACATCAGCAAACCCTTTCAAATCACAAATCACAATACACTCGACAAACTTTGGCCCATTGGATAGTTCTTGTAGATTAGTTCTGGGGGCAGCTTGAGTATCTAAAGGTCATGTGAACTGATACCCAGCCTGCCTCTGCTGTCTTTCAGAACGAGGAGGACTCGGAGGTTCCGATGGACAGTGTGGAGATGCCTCACTTCCGTCAGCGCTCTTTCCTGCCTTCCCAGCCGGTTCGCCGCACACCCATCCTTCACAACTTCCTCCACATCTTGTCGTCTCGCTCCCCGGGCGCTCAGGCAGGAGGCGAGCAGCAGCGGCCTCTCGGGGAAAATGGAAGCAATATTGGAGAATCTCCCAGCATGCCTCTGGCCCAGTACCCCAGCTCTGAGCGCGGGCCTCCCTTCCCAGGCTGCACCCAGCACCTGGGCATGGTCTGCCTCTGCAGCCGCTGCTCCGTCAGTCGAAACCCCTCCCTGGCAGCCGACGGTTCCTCTGTGACTCCGTCTGACCCGCGGGTGTCGTCCGACGCTCCCCCGCCTCCCCCAGCCTCCACCTTCTCTTCGGCCCGTACGGAGCCCAGGCAGCCGTCGGAGCGACCCTCGGCCTTTACCTCAGTCTACTACAGTGCCGGCGCTTCTCTTAACCCCACCGCACCGAGCGGCCTCGAGCCGCTCTCCACATCCAGGCCCGGACCTGACTGGACTCGCAACCTGCTAACCATGAGGGAGGGTGGAGTCAGTCCAGGCATGCTGCCTCCCAGAACCTCCTCCTCTTCCTCCATCAGCCTTCTTTCAGTGCTCCGTCAGCAGGACGGATCCTCTCACTCCCCTGTCTACACCTCTGCCACTGAAGGTCGAGGTTTCCCCCAACAAGGAGAGCCCGGGGCTCGAGACGCTGCCGGTACCAGCAGCGGCCATCACCCGTTCTGGGACGGCTCTCGCAGCAACACGGCCTCCTTCCGCAACGTGCTGCAGTGCAACCTGAGCCGCTACTTCATGGAGTTTGACCGCATGCAGGACCTGGAGCCGCCGTTGGGGGGCACCATGGACCAGAGCCACGAGCAGAACCAAGAGCTGCTGAATAATAACATGGACCCAGACAGAGCTGGGCCGTCCTCATCTTCCTCCACCTCCTCCCCCACCATCATCCACTACCAGCCTCCTCTCCCGCCTCCCCCTTCGTCCCACAGCCTGGAGAACAATGTTCCTCCCCCGGCCTCCCGAGGCCATCTGAACCGCTGCCGGGCCTGCCACAACCTGCTGACCTTCAACCACGACTCTCAGCGCTGGGAGCGCACCAACCAGGCCTCCTCCACCTCTGCCTCCCCCCTGGAGCCCTCCTCTTCCTCCTCCGCCTTCCCTTCTTCTTCTTCTCCTTGGCAGCCTGAAGAGGGCAGGAGGACACTAGAAGCCCAAACACAGGAGAGGAGGGCTCCTCCGGAGGGCAGCGAGCAGCCGCCTCCCCCTGGAGGTGGAGGAGCAGGACCAGTGGCCTTCCCCATCGCCCCGTCCTCCAGCCAGCCTGGAGAGCAGACAGTGGGCTTGGTGTACAACCAGGACACAGCGCAGTGGGAGAGGGTGTACCGGCAGGCTGCTGCCGGCCGATCGGCAGAGCCACCGGAGGCCTTAAGCCAAGAAATGCCTGTTGACCCCCCAGATGAGGACTCCCTGAGGAGGTACAGTCTCTTTATTTTTCAATGAGGGCTGCAACTAACAATTATTAATAATTTTCTGGATTAACTGATTAGTTGTTTGGTCTGTGACATGTCAAAAATGTTGAAAAATGGTGATCAGTGTTTCCCAGAGCCCAAAACGCCAAATGTCTTTTCTTCACAACACAAAGAAATTCGTTTTACTGTCAAAGACGAGAAAAGAAACCAAAAAATATTCACATTTAGGAAAACTTGCTCCAATCAGTAATCAGAATAGTTGATGATTACTTTAATTATTTGACTAATTGATTAATTGTTAAAGCTTTCGTGTCTTTGTGACCATTTAGCTTCACTTTGTGGTTGTTTTGCAGCTATTTGCACTCGTTTTCTTTCCGGTCGTGTCTTGTATCTCATTTTACATCAATTTCTGGTCATTTCGCGTCTCATTTCATGTGTCTTTCTAGTTGTTTATTTTTTATTTTTTTGTTCTAGATCTCTGTAGTTACTTCATCACGTCGTGGCTGTTTTCTGACTGTGGTTGTTTTATGTCACTCTTTGGGCATCGTGTGTCTTGTTAGCACGTCTTTGTAGTTGTTTTGCATCGTCATAGTTACTCTGAATCTCGTTGTCATTTTGTGTGATCGTTCAGCTTCCCTTTGTGTCTTTGTGACTGTTTTTCTTTTCTGTTGTATTATATCTCATTTTGTGTCACTCTCTCATGTGTGCTGTTATTCAAACTGGAAAAAAAAAACTTAAGGAAAGCTAAATAATACGCCCTATTTTAAATATTAACTCAGTAATATATCAGTGAAGGCTACATTAGACATTTATATTTAGCTTTAGTGTAGTTTTGGGGAAGGGCCGATGCCTCTCTTTCTCACTTTGTCAACTGTTAAGGCCCTTTTTATGTCTCAGGTAAGCTGAATATTAACATTTATCGCTCTGATGTTATCCAGTAACTGTGTGGTCGTAACACCGAGCCCTTGTTCTTTTATACAGGCGACTGCTGGAATCATCTCTGTTATCGTTGTCTCGTTACGACATGTCAGGATCAAGAGACCACCCCATTTACCCCGACCCAGCTAGGTACGCTTCATTCACCCTGATCCAGGGGTTTAGGTGTAAACTCTTACTTAAGGAGGATTTTATCGAAAACCTTGTTAACCTTCTGAACCTCAACCGGCAGTTTCTGGGCGTAAACATTTTCCTCACTATGAACTAATTTTTTTTTAAAATCATAATATAAAGTCCTGCACCGCTATGGAAAAAGCACAGCCATGGCTAGAAGTAGAGAGAACCCAGAAATGTCTTCTGTGCCATACATTAGATTCATAATACCATGAATCATACAAAAAGAAAAAAACAAAGATGAATTTCTTCCATCATTTGTTTTAGAAAATTGAAAAAAAAAAACAAAAGCAATCGATAATCAACGTGTACAACATTTTTCCAAGGTGTTAACATTGCTGGAAAAAGAAAATAGACTCTATTGATTTTTAACAGTTTTAATTTGTGTCCGTACTCGTCTCCCACACTGCCTGCAGCTCAACTGAAAACAGGATTTTTGCTCTGTAACTGTGGTTGCAGCTGAGTCAGTCATGGCTCTTCAGTTGTGGAACTAATTATAACCCTAAACCACAGACACTGATTTATTAAGTTATATTAACGCACAGCCTTTTAAACTGGATTATTATTATCTTTTGCACATCTGCTGTTTTGTTTTGTTTTTTTTACACCACATTCTGTTTAGTCTTGCACGTTAATAAGGAATTACTTTACACATTCCTGCACACACTAAGTGCTTCTGTTACTTTCCTATTGCTTCTTTTCTTGTTTTTGATTGACTTGCAATGCATGCTGGTAAACATCTTCTTATCTAAAAAGTATTCTACTTTCCAGTGTTGCACTAAGTCAAGATTCCTCAAAAAACTAATTGTGACATCTGGTGCAAAGTCTTTTTTTTTTTTTTTAAATAAATAAAAAAAGGGGATTTTGATCTTAACTATAACTTAGATTTGTTTTTGTTTTTTCTCCTGATGTCACTGGAAGCCACACGATTAGTTCAAGGACTGTCTGAAAGTTGAATATCAGACAATTCTTCCTGTTTTTACAGATTCTGACTCTGAGATATGGTGTCATTTCGGCACTTTTTTTTGAACGATAAAACGCCTTTCAAACCTGCTGACGACAAGTTTTAGAGTTCAGAAGGTTCATATTCTTGTCTATTCACATCATGTCTGTTTTGGTTCAGCTGTTGTGTTTCTTTGTTGATCCTTCCTACACAAATAAGTGACTGTTTTTAATGTTACTAAAGATGCTTGTGACTTGTTGAATAAGTGTCGTTAATGATTCGGTCAGCGTTAAACACTTATTCAGCGTGGAGCTCCGACTGTTTTATTCTGAATTCGACCTCATAATTCTGTAGCTTAACAAAGCTGCTGGATTCCTCTTTGACCTCTCGGCCTGCAGAAATGAATGAAAGGATTCTTCTTGCTCGGATGACAGGGACTTCCTGTGGCAGAGCAGAGCCACTGTGGGGTCACTGGGTTTCTCTTCTCCACTGAAATTAGAGGAGACTCTGGAGATGATACAAATTAACCGAATAAGATCTTTCCCTTAATCTCATGGTTTGAAATATGCTGAAAATGCCTTCGTTTCTGTTTCTCATCAGGAGAAACCACACAGGTATCAACACAGAACAATTTCTGACTGACGACAGAATACAGCTGTTACCGTTAGTCACCGTGTTCTCACGGCTTCTGTCTCAGCTTTTACACTCAAAAGTTTCAAGTCGTAAAAAAACACGAAGCTGAAGTTGCCCCTCTTTTGCCGCGCAGGCTTTCTCCGGCAGCGTACTACGCTCAGAGGATGATCCAGTACCTGTCGAGACGGGACAGCATCCGCCAGCGCTCGCTCCGCTACCAGCAGAACCGGCTGCGGGCCATGTCGTCTTCGTCGGACAGCCCGGCCAGCAACCCGGCCAGCTCCATGGACAACAGCGACGTGGACTTCGAGGAGCTGGAGTAAGTTTCATTCTCTTTGTCACAGGAACAGCAGGTCTGTCGTGAACAAAAGGAAATGCTGGTTGAATGAAATCAAACCTACAAAAACAAGCAGTTCATCTGTAAATGAAGTAAACCTGCTCTACCTTCTACCTTTATTAGCCTAAATTAATTCGAAATCAACATGAAAAGCTAATATTTACAGCATGTTACATCATTTGAACCTGGTTATTTTATAGGGAAATGATGAGACCAGACTTTGAGCAGATCTGCTGCACATATTCATATGATTTCTAAAAATAAAAAAATATCTGGTGATTGCGGCACAAAAACTATAAAGGAGTATAACACAGACAAGTTAGCCGATTGTTTTAAATGATGTGTGATTGTCCAAACTGCTGTTTACAAAGTTTATGCTCGTCTTTTTTTCCATCATTTTGAACATCATTGAGAAACTTCTTAGGCATGCTGTCAGTTAGTTGGAGCCAACGTTCGTTGCATAAATTACATCTAGCAGTCTTCATGAGGTTGGGCCAGTTTAAAGTTGAGAAAACATGTAGTCTTGTCCTCCTGCCACTAAAAATGATGGATTAATCCCAGAAGGCTGTTGATGTGGAGCTTTTCTCTGCATCAAAGTAATACCGGTGGTTGATTTAAAGCATAACGACCGACCCACCCGGTCGGGAAAGAGCTAAATTTGACCACAGGTAACGATGCCAGAAGAGATTCAAATCCAAGTTTTGACATAAAGCAGTTACAATATTTCTGAGCGAAAGCTCAAACACGAAGAGAAAAGGGCTCCAAATCGAGAAGTATAACATTTACCCCGAGGTCATTAAGTTTCCTTCATTTTTCAAGCTTTTAAATTTTTAATATGTGGTCAGTCTATCCACGTAATGGCAGTTTTTTAAGCTGCTTTGGGAGCTGCGAGGACAGATGCTGGCTGCAGACATGAGCAGCGGGTGAAAATTTGAGTCATGGTGCTGCTTAATTAAATCCAGTCCATCTCAGCTCCAGCAGCATTTTTCTTATTATTTTTTGCATGCATTTTCATAAATATTGCAGTTCTGTATTTGAAGTGTGTTTCTCTTAAGGTCTGTGCTTTTTAACTCCGGATTGTGCTTTGTACTTCAGGGTTTTATATATAAGGGTCTGGTTAGTGTCCTTAAGTGTAAATCAAGCTTTACTGTTTCCCTTTTCCCAGCGATAACGGAGACAGAGCGAGGCACAGGACTCCCCGAAACGCCAGGATGTCTGCACCCTCGCTGGGTCGCTTTGTCCCTCGGTGAGTCTTAGCAGCCTGAGCTCAGGTTTTCAGCTCTGTCTAGAACAATCCCTGGTTTTATATGTGGTTTATTATTGCCTGTGAAGAATTGAAACTGATTCTGTGTTTTTTGCCTGCAGGCGTTTCCTCCTGCCCGAGTACCTGCCCTACGCTGGAATCTTCCACGAGCGAGGGCAGCCCGGCCTCGCCACACACTCCTCCGTCAACAGAGTGCTCGCTGGTAAACACTCACTCTCTCTGCTCTGTTAGCAGATTTTCTCAGGCGATGATGTAGACACAGTGTCTTCACATAATATTTAAGGTGGCTTAATGTAGTCATGGTCCCAGTGTGTAGTAAATATTCACCACCGAAGCCCAGCTGACTGTAATAAGTGTGAATATGACGTGTGTGTTTTCCTTCGTTTGTCCTCAGGGGCGTCAATCGGAGACGGTCAGTCTGCAGTCGCCAGCAACATCGCAAACACCACCTACCGTCTGCAGTGGTGGGACTTCACCAAATTTGACCTGCCCGAGATCAGCAACGGTAGGTCGAAGTCTGCTGGTCGGAGCTGCTGCTGGTTGTCAGCATGAAGAAAGATGAGGGTTTAATTCACGCAGACTTTATTCTCTTATTTAGAATCAGAATCTGTCTTATTAAGACATTCAATTTGCTGTTTTGGTGCATAACAGGTTAAAAGACAGCAACATAAGCTATACAAGTTTTGCAATTCATTGAAGTGATTTGATTTTATTTCCATTTGTGAATATTTGTTTTTATCGATGGGCAACGTGTCACCGTTTTTCAAATAGCTGCTGATAGTTAAAGGATTTTCTAAGTGTGTGTTCAGGGTGTTTTAGTGACCTCTAGTGGTCTAAATCAGCAGCTCCTCACTGTGGATGTAAATCTGAGGAGTCATAACCTGATTACAGGCGTAGAGAAACAATTTACTTTTAATTGTTTACAGTTGTCCTCCTTGAAATACTGGATGATTTCACCCCTTCGAGCCTCTTAATGTCTTTGTAATGATTTTGATGGTCACGATTTCCTGTAGTCGGAACTAAAACCATGCTGTCTGTTGGTCTCAATTCCCCTCATTTCCCATCATCTCCCTGCTGTTGAATTGCTGTTAAAGACATCAAATGCTACAGAAATCCCCTAAATACACAATACACCCTTTGATTTTAACTTTTGTTTTGCTCCTGCTGGTCTGACTGTTTAAGAGCTGAGTTTAAATGAAAGTCTGAAGCGTGAGATGCTAATGAGAGATCTCTGTGTTTATTCGTCCAGCCTCAGTCAACGTTCTGGTGCCAAACTGTAAAATCTACAACGACGCCAGCTGCGACATCTCCGCAGACGGTCAGCTGCTGGCGGTTTTCATTCCCAGCAGCCAGCGGGGCTTCCCAGACGAGGGCATTCTGGCCATCTACTCTCTGGCTCCCCACAACCTGGGAGAGATGCTCTACACCAAGAGATTCGGTACGCCGTCCTTCTCACGCACTTCTGTAAATTCCCGCTTTATTTTTAAGTTTGCTTCGGTCAAGGGTTTAGTGTCGCGTTTGCGTCCGCAGGTCCGAACGCCATCTCCGTCAGCTTGTCTCCGATGGGCTGCTACGTCATGGTGGGCCTGGCTTCTCGCAGGATCCTGCTGCATCCCACCACCGACCACATGGTGGCGCAAGTCTTCCGCCTGCAGCAGCCACACGGAGGAGAGACTTCCATCAGGGTAACGCAGCACAAACACAACACAAACACACACTTCACTCCCATTAACACTGGTGCTCTTATTATTACTGCTGGCACACTTACATGTGGCACAGCTGATTCGGCTGCTAATTAGAGCTGCAACGATTACTCAATAATCTATTATTAAATCATTTATTCATTCATTTAACTGTTATTTACTCTCGAGTGCACTGAGGCATGAAATCCTCTGAGTAGGACGATGTAAGGTGTCGGCACACATACAACAAACTTAGAAGGCAGTAAAATATTGAAAGACAAAGTTAGTAAAATAATAACAGGAGCAGCTGGAATTGGCAGAGTATGAAATTCAAAATCTGAAAGGATAAAAATGAGTCAAGGAGCACCGTAAGTAAGACTAGGTTGTCTGATTGCAGTTAAAAACAACAGATTAGTTTCAGCTGTTAAAGTAATCACCAACTATTTTAATAACCAATTTATCACTTTGAGTAATTTTTAAATGAAATCAGAATTCTCTGATTGCAGCTTTTTAAATGTGAATATTTTCTAGTTTCTTTCCTTTATGACTGTAAACTGAACATCTTTTGGTTGTGGACAAAACAAGACATTTGTCATCTTGAGCACTGATCAGCACTTTTCACCATTTTCCGACATTTTATAAACAAAACAACTAATCTATGAATCCAATACGACTGATTCAGGCACCATGACTAATAATTCTGTATTTACACTCATACGTTTGCCCTACTTCTGCTAGTTTATTCTTTATTGGATCACATTGTTTTATTGATCTGGTGTTTTCCAGCTCATTTCAGGAAACTTTCCTCATATTCATCTAAAATTAGCTGATATTTACCTGTAAATTAGAGGATAATTGCTTGTAATTCTTGTCCCTTGTGGTTTCTGCTGTGTGTAAATACAGCTGCAGTGAGTGAATGTATATATGTGTGTGTGTGTGTGTTCCAGATGGTGTTCAACGTGGTTTACCCCATGGCTCCAGACCAGAGGCGCCACGTCAGCATCAACTCGGCTCGCTGGCTGCCGGATCCGGGGATGGGTCTGGCTTATGGAACCAACAAGGGAGACCTGGTGATCTGCCGGCCTGTGTGAGTCTTCCGACGCTGCGACAGAGGAAACCAGTCATTGTTGATGTTTGGTGCTGACCCGTTCAGCTGTCAGATTAGAGTATGGAGTTTCGCCATGTCCGTCATCGTTGCTTTGAAGAATGTGACCTGGGACTGAAACCCTCCAATCAGCCCCCCTAATGAAAACACTGTTGTAAGAATTTAGAAAAACACAAATTCCAGTACAAAACTGAACTAAAATGCCTTTGTTTACGGGTTAATTTACGTAGAATTGCCTAGATATCAACTTTATGCATATAAGGACCGGCTAACGTGAAGCCCCGCCTCTCGCAACACAACGTGATGTAACCAGAATGCATTGCACGGCTGCTCACCTAGACAGTAGGTGGGAAATGTTGAAATGACGGTTTCTTAAATACCACGAGTCCAGGCTCCTCAAAGATGATGTCGTGTGAACAAACTCCAGGACACTCTTGAGAGCGGTGGCATTCACATTTAGACTCCTGCAAAAAAGGCTCTTTGGTTCAGGATAGGAATGTGAATTATTAATTGATTCATTTATGTATTACTTATTTTGACGATGAAGGGCATGCAGGTCAGAAAATTAGTTGTAGATTAGCTTTAGTAGCGATTTAATACTGTGACGGCCCAAGAAAGAGGTCGCTTGACATACAAGCAGATCCCTGTGTGCACATAGAGAATACTGTGGGAATTTTCAATAGCAAAGGGGCACCATGACAAAGTCTTGTGTGATGATTAATGGATACCAGCCAAAGCTTGTGTTTTGAACTGTGAACAGTAGTGTAGTAGGACAGTGTACCTGTTGCTCAATGACACATGTAACTAAGCTGTAGTAGCGCTTGAGTAGCTTAAAGGCCATCGCATTCAATTCGCTACTGATTAATTAAATTATTGATCGAGAAAACTGCTGGTTATTGGTTTAGAGAATTGTTCAGAAGTTGCGTACCTTATTCAGGAACAAGCTGGTGTCGGTTTAAAGGTATTAAACGTATTTTGTCTTTTTGCACTGGTTCTGTGTTAAAGCATCTTTCCTGTACCTGAACTACGAGGTGGAGAAAGTTTTTCTAATGCTGCAGTTATCGTATCATTAACACTGATCCGTGTACCTTCAGTCGTCCTCCTGAGCTGCACAGAGCTCCCCTTCCTCCCCCCTCCTCCCCGAGAAGCCCTCTGATGTGATTATCTTAATGGTCGATCAGAACAGGAAGACCATTAATTGGAGAAGCCCAATTAGCGCTTTTAATGAGGTCGTGATCTGTGTGATTCCACGAAGAAATCCCTCCTCTGCTTTTCAGGCTTCCTGAATGGAAGTAAATTAACGAGCTGTGTGCATGTGTGTGTGTGTTTGTTTAGGTTCTATCGCAGCGATGGCGAGAGCCCCGGAGAGTCGAGCAGCGAGCCGCTGTTCTCCGTCAACAACAGTGGAACCAGCCGGACCCGAGGTTCTGACAGACCGGGGTGAGGATAACATTGACACATACAAGGCTGCAGAATTGAACACAGATTGTTTTATTCTTAGATTTCTGAGCTCCACAGTTATCAAACAACTGTATTGTTTGTCTATTTTGTTCTTTCTTCCTGCAGCAGCAGTTTTTAGACTGATTTCTTCTCTTTAATGCTGACAAACTCTTTTCTTCACCACAGAACCACTGTTGATAGATTACACTGAAAAAGTCCATCATTAAACATAGATGTATTTATCTGCATGAAAATATTGGACAATAATGCACTTTTTTTTGGAAAAACATTTAGCATGTTGTTGCCATTTCAAGAAGTTCAGCAATTGCACCTATAAAAATCAAAACCTGATATAAATGTAGCTGCCATCCCGTCTTAAGTATTCCACTCAAGCAGTGACACTCTGCTCCCAGTGCTCCTGCAACTTTTGCAACGTTCACTGGAAGTCCTGTTCTGTCAGCATGTCAAGCATCATCTGGAACGATTCTTCAACTTGAATTTCATTTTGGGAAAGAGAAAGAAGTGAGAAGGAGATAAAACGAGTGAGTAGGGCAGGTGGAGAGCTATGACTTTGTTGTTGTGGCCTAAAAAAACGTGTTAATCACGCTGCACTGTGACCATTGGAGCATATTGTGCCACAGTTCTGTTGGTTTAGTCCTTATAATGGAATTGTGTAATGTTTTACAAACTCTTAATCAGTAAGACTAGACAGGGGTTTGATCTTATAACAATAGAGGACAGTTTCTTTAAAGTTAAGAACAAATATTAATCTATGTTTTTGTGTATTTACAATCGTTCTGTGTTTCATTCTCAGTCCAAATCGCTCCGGCTGGAGGCTGGACAGAGACATGGGATTGATGAATGCGATTGGTCTTCAGCCCCGACACCCCGCCCCTTCGGTGACATCACAGGGAACCCAGACGCCAATCATCCAGCTGCAGAACGCAGAGACACAAACCGAGAGGGACCTATCGGAGCCCAGCGTCTCACAGCCGCCACTCAGTACTGAAAACACACACCACTCCTCAGTTCAGCCATTTCATACATGAGTTGCAACCGCCTCCGTCAATATTTTATCTAATTACTTTCTCTCCCGCACTGCTAAGAATAAACATCTGGTGGTTTCCGATCTCTGGGTGGAGGTCAGGTGTCAGGCCACAGAACGTTAACTTTGAGGACACTGACAGCAGAGTCAGACTTTATGTCTCTGCTGGGAAAGATGGAGTCTAGAGGATCTCTGAGAGATGTATCTGAGTTGTAGCTCAGCGAGGGGCAAAAACAGAATCTACAACCAGTGTTTTTATACTTGGTGTAGCAGCTGACCTACAAAACTGGCCTCAGATTTGTACATATTTCACCACACATAGTAGGGCGAGATGAAAACTTCAGTCCAAACAGACACTTAATATAAGATGAAACTTTATTAATCCCAAAGGAAATTCTTTAAGCTACATGCTAATTGTGACAAAAAGCTTTTTTTCCCACATAGTATGTAAAGTTCTTGTATTTCTTTGATGACAAACCAAAAATGATCATGAAAGGAAACATGCTCCAAATCTAGAGATCAATTTGCTATTGCATCATTAAGTTTTAATCATATTTTAAAACAAGATTTAGATTTGAATATGTGAGTAGTTTATCCTAATAATGTCTAGCCTCAAATCTGCTTTCTGAGCTGGGCAGGTCAACGTCCGAGCAAAGCTGCTGCTTGTCCTTGTAAACAACAGAACTCTGTGGAGACTTGTGGAGTTGTACAGCGAGGATGCTGTGGTCTGAGGAAATGTGTTTTTGTCTCTCCTCAGATGTCCCTCCTGAGACTCCATCCACCAGTCGAGCAGCTCAGGGGCAGCTGGAGGCGTCTCAGAGCAGCAGAGGTCAGGACGGCGCTCAGGGCGAAGCTTCAGCCGAGGCCAACACTTCTACAGCGAGCACTGGTACTCCTCCACCCTCCGCTAGACAGACACACCGCTGCCACTCTAGTGCTTATTACACACATCTGCACCCCAGCTCCAGAGTTTAGCCTTGATTTGTTCTTCTTATATCTCTGTGTGTTTTGGTAAATCCTATCTGCACGCTAAAGTCTGTATCGGCTCTAAACTGACCACATATTTGACCGCTGTGTCAGAAAACCAAACTAGAAGCTGATACTCTGAGGTCTGCTGCTTCTGTCGTCTCTGGGGTCATTTCTTTGCAGATCTGTCTGATCGCTTTCCCGACTTCAACCTAATTAAGACTCCGCTGCAGATCTGCGTCTGCGTTCCCTCGGTAGCGATTCATGAAAGTCGTTTCTTCAATTTGCTCCAGTTTAGCTCCGCTGGAGCTCCAACCTGAGACCCAAAACAGTCCCGTCTGTTGTCATTTTAATTTACCTCGGTTGGATAAATATCTGTTGGGGAAAATCTCTGAGTATGAACATATTATGACGAGCAAAAAGAAAAGTTCGTTGAACCCTTTTCTGCAGTTCTGTTCTGGCTCCTTCTGATTTTGCATATTTCCAATATCTTGTGTAAACATCAGAGCTTCAGAATGAGGGCTGGATTCCACAGTCATCCCATATTTACTTTGGGCTTCATTAGCTGAAAAACATTGTTTATTGGCATATAAGCAGGATATCCTCGTTGCTATGGCACTAAATGATGTTTCAGCCTAAGAAGGAGGATTTTGAATTGCCTAAGCTTCAGGATAATTTAATTAATTTCAACAGCAGCCTTTAGAAACTTTTACTACCACATAGTAGTCGTTAGTAATTCTGGGAGCTGCATTTGTGTGATGCAGACGTTAATTTGTTGGTGGTAATGAGCAACTTGTCCAACTGTTTTCAAAGTTTTGAAGCAATCGGATGAATTTGACATGACAACTGTGGAACTAGTTAGTCAAAGTACGGATCTTTGCATCAAAATAGGACTTAAAATAAGCTTCAGCTGAAATCGGAGCATCTCCTAGAGGCTAAATGTTAAATAAAATTACACCCAAAACTCCTCACTGGATCTGCTTAAAGATAGTCACTGTAATTTCCAGATGTCCCTGAACGCCTCACATGTAGGCTACAGTAGATGCTTCTAGTCAGCTGTGCACCGAGAAGCTTCTAGTCTAGTCAGATTTACTTCAAAATCAGGTGATTTTTATCTACTTTGGCTCTTTTCTGTGAGCGTTTTAAACATAAGTGTAATAGTTGACGATGTTCATTTATTTGTGAGATGCAGAACTTGTGATCGTGATGAATTAAATTATAGCAACATTATGATAGAAGGTCATGCAGGTTGCAGTAAATGTGGTAATAAATGACAACAACATGTGGATGACTAAAGTCTAACACCTCCGTGGTTCTTCTGCAGGAGAGTCTCCGGAGTTCGGCTCGGGCGAAGACGCTCTGGCTCGGATCCGGCGGCTGATCGCAGAAGGCGGCATGACGGCGGTGGTGCAGCGGGAGCAGAGCACCACGATGGCCTCCATGGGCGGCTTCGGGAACAACATCATCGTCAGCCACCGCATCCATCGCGGCTCCCAGACGGGCACGGCGGCCTGCAGGCCCCCCACCGACCCCACCATGACGGCCCCCTCCACCTCAGGTCCCCTGCTCATCGCCCCGCCCCAGTCCTACCCCCACCCCCCTCCCCAGGCTGCTAACCCGTCCGAACAGCTCACTCCCATATGGGGCCCCACGGTGCTGTCGGGCCCCCAGCCCCCCGGCCTGGCTCTGGCCGTGGACATGGACGACGTGTTTGACGGGGGACGAACAGACGACGACTCGCTGCCGGGTCCCTCCTCTTCCTCCCTGCTGCTGTCTTCCCCGTCCTCCTCCTCGTCCTCCTCCTCCTCCCACAGCCCCCTCCCCGGCAGCGGAGGCGGCCCCAACGGTTACCCCGGCGACCCGTACAGCAGGTAGTCCTCCTGTCGGCCAGGAGGCGCAGAGCGCTGGCTGATGGGTAAAGGGCGCTCCTCAAAGCCTTATCTCACAAAGAAATGGGTGCTGCTTCGACTCTGCACAGGGTCTCCCGCCTGGAAAAAGAAGGGACACAAGAACCCCGCCTCACCCCTCCTCACCCCTACGCCCCCCCGAGTGGCATCGGCGTGCACTTCTTCTGCACTTATAAATCCGGACTGAAGCTGAAACCGCGATCATTCCTCGTCAGAAAGGGCTTCTACTTGAACGGAGGCCAGTTCTCGCTGAGCTCCTCTCCGCCCGACTCTCTCTAACTATCAGCGTGATGGAGGTTCCTGTTTAAAGTGCCATGTCTGCGGGGGGTGAGGAGGAGGTGGGGGAAGGGGGAGGCATCTCTTTCTCACACACATTTACTCCAACGTGCTGCATTCGGTGCCATGTGATGTTGAATTTGATGTGAAATAGTGCGTGATTGAAGTGTTTAAAAAGTGAATTCAGCACTACTTTATTTTGAAGCCTGTTCTTTTTTTTTTTTTCCTTTTTTTTTTTGTACTGTGTGTAATTATGATGTTTGAAAACCAGGAATCGTGTCCGAGGCTGCCTGAGGCTGGACTCTGAGCGGCGGCCTGCAGCCAAGTGGAGAATAATCACTGACGACTGAACGGACAAAACGAGACTGAACAAACTGAATCTACTGCATGTCTTTTCAATAATGCTGCAGTTCATGAAACAAATTACGTTGAGTTTTTTTTTTTAAAGGCTGAAGAGGAGAAGAACCATTTCTTGTTTGGGGGGGAAAAGGAGGGTGGCTTCATTATGACCTGCTCCAGCCCCTCCCTGAAAACCCACCCAGTTGCACTACAGTGTGTTTGGTGCTAAGCGAGGCCTGGACGGCCGTGTGTTTTGTGTGTTTGCGGCCCTGTTCGAAGCGTCCGATCACCGAAGCCACGTTCGGTGAGGTGGTGACCGACGCGCGGCCACGTTTTTAAGCGAGTGACTTTGCATTTCCTGACCGCAGTCATCATCTGTGTGAGCAGAAGTTTGTACATTTTGATTCCATTCATCGAGAGCTGCAACTGATAATTATTTTCATTGTCTGCAGGCGTGTGCAGGTAGGAGGTGGATGTTTTAGCTTAGATTAACCCTCTGAGCTCCGAGCAGTTTCTGGGCCTTTTTTTTTTAATTTGCTTCTGTCACATTTATCTTCACTGTGGGCTCACTGTTCACTGCAATACAAAGTCCAGAACCAGAACAACCATGAAGGAGGAGAGCGACACAGTTAGAACGCCATAAACTGTAACAAAAGAAAAAAGTTTAATTTGTTTATTTATTTTACCACAATTGAACGAAACTGGAATCAACATTTTTCCAAGTGCCCACAGTTGTTACAAACACTGGAAAAAAGAAAAGGTGACCGAACACACTATAGATATTTAACTGTTTACATGTTTTTTTTATTTGTTTTCATGTTTATTTCCCGTCTGCTCTGTGTAAATAATATCCTCACAAAGCCTGCAGTTCAGCTGAACATTCACAGGTTTTTTTGTTACGAGGTTGTTGGTCACAGCTGAGTCATTAACGGCTTCATGGTTGCACCAAAAAGCACTGAATTTTTTATTATTTTTGTTACAGACTCTGGTGCACTTGGTGTATTTTTTTGGAATTTTTTAAAAATGGGGACACAAGAATAAAGCGATTATGATGAAATATGATTTTAAGCTGAGATTTTCCCAAAAATGTCACATTATAGATGAGTAATGTGTCTGAAAGTTGAAAATTTGGCGATTCTTTTGTGTTTTTACAGTTTGTGGTTGGTCAGCGGTGTAGTTTGGGGGTTTTAAAACATAACTTATTTGAAACACACTGGTGGGTTTCGGGGTTCAGAGGGTTCATACTTGACGCCTGACTGCTGCAGTTTGTGTCTAAAATTACACTCCTCCTCAGAGTCAGTTAGATCTGAACTCACACACGTTCTTAGATTTAGCGGGACGCACGCTTTGTGAGGATATAATTGTCTCAGATGTCTGTCAGAATATACCTCCAGAAGTTCATGTAGAAATCTGAGACAAGCACAGTTCAGCGCCTGTCTGACGATCTGTGTTTTCTTCAGCAAAGCAGAAAAACTGCAAACAGGAGCTGCTCACGGAGAAATTCTGCAGCCTTCAGAGGCAGTTGTACCTGTTTATGTTCTGCAAAGCATCATGGGAGTTGCAGTTTGTTTCTGTAGCAGTTGCTGAAGCTGGTTTTCAAATGTCTTGTTTTGTCCAACCAGCACACAAAATGCAAAATATGTTTGATTTGCCTTTCACAGGAGAAAGAAAACAGAAAAGATTCACAAGATGGAACTTTTTTGCTTCACAGGGTGTTCACGTTTTACTCCTGACATCTGCTTCTTTTTTTGTTTTTCCCTTGAACCCACACGTTGTTCTTCCTGACACCACGATAACGGCTTATGTTTTTGTTGTTTTGTTTTTTTTGTGTACTGTATTTATAAATTTTGGGTGAGTTGATCGGACAAAACAAGACATTTTCCACCTTTTTTCTGCTTTTTTTTCTTTTCTTCTTTTTACCAACTGATGAATTCACTAAACTGCAAAAGAACCTGAATCCGAAAATAATTGTTAGTTGCAGCTCTTTCGTTGCATTTTTAGGGACAGAAACGTGCAGAAACACTGGTGTAGTTCTTCTAAAACTGAGGACGTTTCTATCGGCAGCGTGAGTAAAACGACCAAAAGGAAACGTTTGTGGTGACGTTGTGTGTTTGTTTTTCTTCTTTACCGAGCAGCCGAGTGAAATCTGCTCACACGTGGGTCAGTGGAGACACAACCGATCTGAGACGACGCTCAGGCGACTCCTGAGTGTGTGTTGAGTACAAACGGAGGCGTGTACAGAGTGTGTTTGTGCTGCAGCGTGAGCAGGGAGAAGTGTGTGTGCGCTTGTGTGTTTGTCGTCGTCGGGGCAGGCAGGAGGCACATGTAGCATCTCTGCTCATTGCGGCCGAGGGATGTGGCCCGAACCTGATCGTCTTTTTTTTTTTTTTTTTTTTTCCACTGCAGGAACTCAAACCGGAGCTCTCTGAACCCGTTCGGTCCTGCTGGTTCTGCTTTTGTTAAAAGGAGGTCAAAGTGAAGCCAGAACTTTCCTATTCAGTGAGAAAAGCTCATGCAGAATGTTCACAGCTGAGCTCAGAACAGCCGCTCTCAGCAATATGTCACATCCATCGCTTCACGTGTTCAAATAAGGACAGTTTGGTCAATATTTATGTTTTTAGCTGCCTTAAGGCAACACAATCTCCCAGAAGCCCTTGGCATTCGTGTGCTGTGTCATTTCGAACTGAGGGAAAGCACTTGCAATTGTTCATGTCATCAAAGTGGATGTATGATTTCAGATGTGGTCCATGTTAGCACTGACATTAAAGGACATAAAATCGGTTTACTTACCAAGAGGGGCCGTCTCTGGCTTTGATTTCTAGGCGGTGCCGAGTCACGGTTATCCGAACTGACGAATAAACTGTTTGTTTGTGTGTTGTGAGTCGCCAGAAACTCACATTTATAGCAACACTGATATTGTGCGTCGCAGTTCAGAAGAAGAGAAGTCAGCGACCCGATGGAGGGGTTCTGCAGATCCTCATGTCCACGCAGTGTTAGTCTGCTGTTGCTGATTACTGGTTGCTGTTTGTGCACTGAGGCTGCTCATCCATGTCTTTGCTTCTGTCACATTTTTCTTCACTGTACGCTCATTTTTCGCTGCAGTCTGAAGTCCTGCTCGTCTGTGGAAGCAGCACAACCACGGCTAGGAAAACAAAATGAACTCAAACATGCCATAAATGTGAATTTTTGTATTTATTTTACAAAAATTGAAAAAAAACTTAATTGACATTTCTTTCAAATGAACACAGGCGTTACCAAAACTAAGAAAAAATGTTGACTCTTTGCGACACATATTTATCTACCTTGGTTTTCATTTTTTTACATACTTGCTCTCTAAACAGCCTGCAGTTCAGATAAAAACTCAGAGTTTGTTTTGTGACTGTTGGTTACAGCTGAAGTCTGGCTCGGTTGTACTGCAGAGCTCAGAATTCTTTTTAGGTTTATTTTTTCTGATGTTTTAAATTGATTTTTGATGAACTAATGTGATTTTCAGGCTACATGTGGTTATTTTTGGCTACTCACAGATGATTAGCTCAAGAACAAAGTTGAAAACTGACAATTTTTTAGTTTGTACAGTTTCTGGCTAATAAATTGTCTTTTTGGTGAGTAGAAGAAAAACAAACGATGTCTTTCCAACCCAGCAGCAGGTTTTGGGGTGCAGAGGGTTAATTATTTTACCACCCTAAGAAACACTCTTCTTCTTCTTCATGCCTCCAACAGTGGGATTCTTTCTCCATGTCCATGTTTCTGTTGTGGCTCAAGTCAGGACGTTTAGAAGCCTGCATCAGATGTTTACGTGTAACGATAACAGAACTCCGGCTTGCAGATGCAGATTTCCCTTAAAAAGTAAAACACTCACATGCCATGTTCCTGTATTTTTATTTGCATCACATTAAAAGAAGTAAACGTACGATGACATCTACCGCCCGGAGCAGCAGACACTTGGCTCGCTGTAGCTGCAGATGTTAAAATCTCACCTCTGGTTCTTGCTGAAGAACAAATATTGACGGCATCCTCCCAACCATGTTCTCATCCAGACTTGCTTTTGTTGTTTCTCACTGCAAAGTATGACGACAGCAAGTTGTTGTTGCACCACAGTCTCCATTTTGTTGCTTCCTCAGGCCCTATAATCATAATTATATCCTGATGGGATGTTACTTTGCTCCTGATCCGACCCGAGTCATCTCATATTTAATATCCGCTGATATCTGATACCATTCTCCCGGCTAAAACACATTTCCAAGGATTGTAGATTAGCTGCAGTACCTGGTTCTTTCTGTTTAATGCTGTGGCGGCCAGACGAGGAGTTTAGCTGATAAAGGAGCACCATGACAGAGACTTTCATGAGGCTTACTGATCTCAGGCCAGTGAAGACATGTTAAATGGAGCTGGGATGTGTTAGAGCTCTGATTCTACAACCCAGTAAGCACACCTGATAGCTGTGATTGTGTTTTTCTCTCAGGTTTCCGCGTGACAACAGACGTTTACAAAGAATGCGGGATAGGGTTTGTGCTGATGCTGATGACTTTAAAATTCTGTTCTCGTCTTACAATGTTTGAGTGTATGAATTTAGAGACAACATCTGTGAAGTTTCTCTTTATGATGCAACCACATTACAACACCTGTGAGGATTTTTTAAAAAAAAGCTCTTACCTAAACTAAACTATAGAGGACCAAGACTAGAGCCCTGAGGAACGCCACCAAGTGTTTACCGCCACTTTAAAGCGTCCGGTTGGAGCTCCTGCAGTGGAAAAAAAAGGCCTGTGATTGGTGTCTCCAAACCAAACCCCGCCCGCCTCCCCTCTCCCTTCAAACTCCTGCAGAAGAAAACTTGAATTTTTTGATGAAGCGCTACTTTTCCGTTTCCAGCCTGTGGGACTGTACAGCCGCCGGCGCTCTGCTGTTTTTTTTTTTTTTTTTAATTGTTATTCCACATGTGCTTAGCCATCCACGCACAAAGCTGCATAGAGGTTCACTGATAGTGTTGTGTATGTGTGTGAGAGTGTGTGTTGAGGGTTGGGGTGGGGGGTTAGTAACGGACCTACGGTTTAACTTTCTGCGGGTTTGTCCAGGTGAGATCTCGT